CTGTGGCTGTTGTTACGTTTCATAATGCACATGTCTAACATTTTTGTTCTATTTAAACGAATTTTCATTGCGGCACAACTATTAGCGCGCATATAATTTAGCGGCTTTGCTGATTCCCGCTAAATTAGTACCCGCAATAAATAGTAACCTTAAGGTATATACTGTATTTATGGGGGTATGGGGATTGAGGTATGGAGATTGGGGTATGGGGGAGCACACATTTCTGTGGATGTTACTGTTTCATAATGCACATGGATGCATTGGGGATGTGTGTTTTTCTTCCAATCGTGTGCGTACAAGACATGCAAAATAGCAGTATGAGCAGTTTTCTCTGGTGTGGTGTGCAAGAACAAATGATTTGCATTTTCCGCAAACTGCACAAGTTATTAACCTCAAACCCCCTCACACACACACACACACACACATGCACAGGTCCAAGATGCCAGGATAGTAGAGGTGGCCAACGACAGGACAGACACGTACCTGCAGGCCATAAGACCTCAGATCACTCCTCAGCTCCAGCTGGTGGTCATCGTCTTTCCCACCTCCAGAGATGACAGGTTAGCAATGGCTGATGTTACCCCAAGTTGGAACTGGTGAGGACTTCAGTTTTCATCCACCTGCTTGTTTGCTGAGCAAAGTGAACCTGCCTAGTCTTCCAAATTCACAATTGACATTTGTATGTAGACAATGCCTTACATAGTACGCAACTGTTCTTTAAGGTGAAAATCCTGCAGACTCTGTGATTGTGAAATCCACATCCCACAGAATGCTGTGTTTCTATCTTCCCTCTCTTCCCTCTGTCTCCAGATATGCTGCAGTGAAAAAACTCTGCTGCATTGAGAAACCGATACCGTCCCAGGTAAGGATGTGGTACATGTCCCATACCCATACTGCCTGGTCTCCATTCCATGTCAGGTGATCAACGCCAGGACCATCTCGGCTCAGCAGAAACTGCGGAGTGTGTCTCAGAAGATAGCTCTGCAGATAAACTGCAAGTTGGGAGGAGAGCTGTGGGCACTCCACATACCTGTGGTGAGTCTTCTAGTATTAGTGGCTTCTGGTGAGACTCGAAAAGGTGAAGGGATAGGATAAGGTTGCTATTCCACCCTTGAACATTAGTCAAAATATTAGGGATGGTTGGTTTGTCGTTTTGTTTACTCGTGTTCCTGCAAAAAATACAAAACTGTTCTTAGGATTGGATGAGGGAGTAAAAGTAAAGGCGAGATAGGGCAAGATTAGTATTGCTATTCCACCCTTGAACATTAGTCAAAGTATTAGGGATGGTTGGTTTGTCGTTTTTCGTTACTAACATTTCTGCAAAAAAATGCAAATCTGTTCATATAATTGATGGGAGATGGCGACAGCGAAATAAAAGGCCAAGATGGGTAACGTTCCCCAGCCAAATGTTAGGGATGGTTTGTTTGTCATTTTGTTTGCTGCAGAAAAACCTGATGATAGTTGGTATAGACGTTTACCATGACGCAGTTCTCGGGAAATCTCGTTCCATCACTGGATTTGTTGCCAGCACTAATCCGTGAGTGACTCCGCCTACTGACCACACCCTCTGACCACGCCCCTCTCTCTAGTCACATGACCAGGTGGTACTCGAGGGTTGCCATCCAGGGACCTCAACAAGAACTGGTGGATGGACTGAAACTGTGCTTTAGAGCTGCCCTTCAGAAATACCATCAGGTGGATGTAAACCCATACTCTTGGCCCAACCCATCAATTAGCGGTACCATGCATGCGCAGTGCACCGAGGGTTTGCACTTCACTGCTTTTCATTGTCTGTGTGTTACTACGGTGATGACCTCTGACCCCAGGAGAACGGGGGACTGCCAGAGAGGATCATAGTGTACAGAGATGGAGTGGGAGACGGGATGATGCACACCGTGGCTCAGTATGAAGTCCCGCAGATGACCTCGTGTTTCACTGACCTCTTTGGTTAGTACGTGTCTCTATAATCTAGCGTCCTTTTTTCAAGAGTATTTGTCACACTTTCAATGATGAATAATGTTTTCAAAATGTGACTTTATACTACTGATGCAAAGATGTGCACTTTCATTGAAACCAGGCATGAATTGCTAATTCTAGAAAATACTTGCATTTCATCTCGCCATACTTCATGTCTCTATACCTCTTGATTTCATCTTCCTTCACTCACCCAACCCTGCGCAGGGGAGTCCTACCAGCCCAAGATGGCGGTGGTAGTGGTGCAGAAGAGGATCTCCACCAGAATATTCTGTCGCTCTCCGAGAACTGGGCTAGAAAACCCTCCCCCGGGAACCGTGGTAGACCACACCATCACACGCAGGGGCATGTGAGTGTCACATGACTATCACGTGACTTGCCTCACTCCTCCTCTTCCTGTCTGTAGCTATGATTTCTTCCTGGTGAGTCAGAAGGTGCGCCAGGGAACGGTGACCCCCACCCATTACACGGTGGTCCATGACTCGTCTACTCTGAAACCAGATCACATGCAGAGAATGGCTTACAAGATGACCCACATGTACTACAACTGGCCTGGAACGATCCGTGTGCCTGCCCCCTGTCAGGTGAGATCACATGACTCAGCTCTCTAGTCATGTGACTGCCCTGTGTGCTGAGCTTGCTTGGGTAAGAGCACTCTGCCTAGAGTGTAGTGGGTTGGAATCCCACCCAGGGCAGCTCTGATTTGTGCGGGGTGCTCTTGACCTTGCCTTTGTCTTGAGACCTTGTTGAAATTTGCATGTGACAGTCATGTAACCTCTCTTTCCCCACTGCAGTATGCCCATAAGCTAGCGTTCCTGGTGGGTCAGAGTCTGCACAAGGACCCAGCCCTCGAGCTAGCAGACCGCCTCTTCTTCCTCTAAACAGACCATAACAAGAGAATTTCCTAACAAACTACAGCTGCTGTGCTCGTTACTCAGAAACTCATTTATCACTTTGCTTTGCTTTATCATCACCTCATCTCACACAATCATGATTCCAACAAATTGTATTACTTAACATTTTATTTTCCCTAATTCGTCACACATTGTCTCCCCCACTTATACTGCATTTCATTGCCATGACTATACTTGTCCAAACTCACTGCAGGTTGTATATAGCAATTATTTAAATGAACATTGTATGATTGACGAGCCAAGTATATATGGCAAGTAAAGTGAGTCGTCTAGTGACAAGCAATCATGCCACATGTTGATCCATTACTGGCAAACCTACCTACAAGTTGTTTCAATACACGATACTAATTTTGTCATGATGGACATGGACAGGCACTGCACACACACGCCACTGATGTACGCAAAAAACACGAAATATCAAACTTTGCTTTGGTAGGGAAAAAGCAACTCATTTGCCAATGAAAAGCACTAAAGTGCAAACCCTCGACCCTTGGCACACTGTGCAACTCATACACAAGTGTGGCACCAGCACAATTGATGGTCATCAAAAAGAACAGCATGTTATGTACTATTTATTTCCATGGATAAATGGAGCCCATTTCTGTTTGAGGGCAAAAATATATAAGGTTGAAAAATTGCCAACCTTTCATCTCTCTATTGATTTTCGTATTACCCGTGGATTGTTTAGTGCAAAAACCCAAGGTTGAAACAAATCTTTAAAAAAACGGCCAGCCCTTCATCTCTCCAGACAGACGTCTACGGACGCAGTGCTATGCCGAACTATACGCTGCCCTTTGAGAAACATGGGTCAGTGGTAGATTTGTGGGTAAGGGGAGGAACCAGAGCTGTTCCCAGCCAATGCTCTGGACCACCTGACATTTTAGTGCGGATCGAGGATTCGAACCCGGCACCTATGGTGTCAGTCCCCACGACTCTAACCACCTAGCCACTCGGGCTGGCCTTGAGAGGTGATGAAAAACGTTCCGTTTATACCACCAACAGCGACACTCCTATTACATTATTGTAAAAAAGGCGCACACCCCCCGGGATCGAACCAGGGACCTCACGATCAAGAGACGGGGTGCTTATCCATCAGACCACCACCCATTACTTGAATGGGAAGAGTGTAAATGAAAAGCACTAAAGTGCAAACCCTCGGCGAAGTATATAGCTCGAAGAGAGTCTGACACGGGCTAGCTACAGTAGTAGATAGCACGCGAGAGTCGATACACGCCATTCGTTGTGACTTCTTATGCCTTCAAGATAGACAGAGCAAGCGGACCCGGTGTCGCGGTACATTTCATCCCCCAAAATTTTTATCCGGCCGGATAGGATATTCTATCCCCCCCGGATAAAATTTCCTAGGATATTCTATCCGCACCCGGGATATTATATACCCCGTGCTGTGCGTTATTAGAGTGAGCTAGGTTCGAGCCGACCAATCAGATTGCAAAGGCGAGGTTTACTAAATCCCGTAGTAAACCTCGACGGGGTTTTACTACAGCAAATAGAAAACCTACAGAATTTACATGTAAAATGTACATTCCACTTACACATAAAACAAGAAAACATAACAAAATGTACATGTAAACAACAAAATCAACAACTGAATCTACATTGACGCGCGTCGTCCACGCGCACGCGCAGACTCCCCTGCGCGCAGACCGTCGCGAGAAAAAGAAGGCGGAGGAGTCGCTACCGCGTGTCTCTGCCGCTTCGCTCTTCTTGCACTGCATTTTCTGGCGCTCTGAGCCTGCCTCCATCGAGTCATCGTTAGAAGCGCTCCGCCATACGAACGAACAGGAAAGCCAGAGCGCTCAACGTGAAGCGCTCACTCTAAAATAGTTAGACGCTGATTCCTCGGTAACCACGCGCCGGTAGAAAGCCTCGTGCCCCCGGGGGTAGCGCCCTCGCTGCGCTCGGGGCGCCACAATGCCGGGGCTCTCGGCTTTCTACTGCGCGTAGTTACCTCGAATCAGCGTCTAACTATTATTTAGGAGTGTCGAAACGCAGGCGGGGTGTGTTGTTTTGAGGTTCTGTGGGGGATTTCAACGTTACAGAATGCGATGACAGCCTTGTTTGGAGTTACACCAGCGGACTGTAGAACACTACCGGATATCCCAGCGAGCGTGGGGCTCAGGTTGCAGGTGAAGGCGAGCAGACCCGCGCAACCGCTGTGTCTCGAAGAGAAAGAGAGTGCAGTCGTGCAGATTCAACTCGGTATGCATGAGCAGCGACGGCGGCAACAAAATGGGTTCCCGCGCGTTTACCGCATGCGCAGAAACTTTTCTTATTAGAGGGATAAAATATCCGGACCCCGGATATTCCACATTAAGAGTATTCTGTCCAGCCGGATAGAATATACTATCCCCCGGATAAAATACACGGGGGATAAAATATACTGTGACACACCGGTCGAGGTGCTAAATATAAGCGCATGCGCATTATCCGCCAGCGATAAAATGGCGACTATGGGCATACAATGCTGGAAGCGCTCTAGCTCTGCAACGGATCATTTTCAGAGAAAACCCCACATCTTTTCTGACCCTCGTCGCCCGTTGGGTAGATGGTATCGTTTCTGGGACGAACAGACATTCGAGAGGTGAGATGTAGAGTAACAGACAGACAGACACACACACAGCTAGCTAGCTACAGACAAACCCTACAGAACCCTCGCTGCGCATGCGCGCCGAGGGTAAAAATGTGTGTTCCAGTAAATTATTAGTGTTAAGGCACAGATACAGACAAATCCTCTTGCAATCCATGTGGTAACTATAGCAACCCCTGGCGACGAAGATCCTCATAAGTCTTCTTGTTAACGACATTCCCGATCGAGTCTTCGTACTCCTCCTGAATGATGACATCATTGCTAAACAATCTGATTCGTCAATGACACAATGACGTCACCTCGTTTTCGGCTGCCCAGGCATCCTCTACTTTACCCATCTTGATCTTCTCCCACACTATGTGGAGGTCACATGAAAGTCACATGATCAGTTGACCAGGTCACATGATTAGTGAAGAGGACAGGATCACATGGTAATCACGTGACACTCACATGCTCTGGCGTCCTCGATATTGATGACGTTGGCGAAGTGGGCCGTGTTAGGAATACCAAGACACCTCATACCATGGGCATGGCGCCACTCCTGTACACAGGCAAATTCTGGTAAGTGGGTCCAAATCTTTGAAGCTGCTGCAAGGCCAATCCACAATGTACTGAATGTATATACTCACAGAAAAGTGTCTCTGAAAGGCCTTAGGTCCTCGGTAGGTAGCGTTTCCACATATCTCACAGGTGTATGTGATGTTCAGACCATGCAGTTTGTATAGCCAGTAGGGAATTGGCTGAACGAAGAGAGAGAGAGAGAGGAGAGAGAGAGAGAGAGAGAGAGAGAGAGAGTAGCTGATGTACTGGCAAATATTACAATCACATGAAGGTATTAGACCATGTGGTGCCAAGAGAAAAAAGATGCAGAGCATGCACGATTAGACTATACAAGGCACATTTATCTGTTACTACATATAAGTTAGTTACTCCATTCGAGGGAACTACTAAATTTCAATGAACCCGAGGGCCTCCGCATTGTAGTGTCCCGAGGGCAGCTAGTATGCGGATGGCCCGAGGGATACATACCTTGCCGTCCCAGCCGAGAGGGAGGTTCTTGGGGTTGTAAGGAACCTCATCATCGTCTGGTTCACTCTCCACTTCCTCTTCCTCCTCCTCTTCTTCCTGATCTTCCAGCAACTCGTCCGCTGTCCGCGCCATCCTCCGCTCAACGTCCTCCCTTGTCGCCGCTCGCTGCTCCTGTCACATGACCAACACACTGGATCACATGACTGTCACATGACTACCACCTCGCTCACCCCCAACATCTCAGTAAAGCGGTATACTTGAGCCTCAATAAGAGCAATTTCCTTTTGCTTTTCCTGGAACTTTCCCTGAAACAATTATTATGCTAAATACGAACACCTCTCTAAATTCTGCCATGCAGTTCAACAGCTTTGGGGGATATTGTATGTGTGTATCTATCACATGGTGTTCAGTCTCAGACCTGTGGGTTTTTGGATCTGGCAAAGAGAGCAGGGTCCAGGGACTCCAGAGGAACCCCTTTGGTTGAGAACAGCCTCCTAGCTCTCTCCTCCAAAGTCCTTATTTGGGATACAGAACACATCATGTATATAATGGTGAAAATAAACTTTGAAAAACAAATTCAGTACTCTGCAGTGTGATCCTCCCTCCCCCCTTACCCGCCACACTTCAGGCCCAGAGCAATAAGTCCTGACTTCAGTCTGTCCAAACCCAATGACATCAGCTCCTGGGTAACGGATCACCATGACAACGACTGAGACTGGTAAACAATGTTGGTATCGCTTTTTTGTCTCGTTGCATGTGGTGGCAGAAAACGTGGTAAAAGATGCCATGCATGCACACTTAGAGTTAACTACCAGTTTGGTGTGTTCAAGGACACACATGGGTGTACAACAACCACTAGCGAAGCCACACCCACCTCGGGGGAAGAGAAAGCCGAGAGGTCGAGGTGTGCTCCGGAATGTTTGGCCATAGCACTCCCCGTGTCCTTCTGCAGTGGGCGGAGCCTGTTACCATGACTACCACTGATGGAGAGGGACTTACCCTCCAGCCAGGGAAAGTCCCTGTGGACCACTTCTCCTCTGCATCTCGTTTCACCTCCGACACTATCTTAGACTGGGGGATGATGTCATACAAATTACATACATCATCATTAACTCATCACAGACAGTGTTTTACCTGATCTAGTAGGGGTTGCACACTCCCAATATAGCCAGAGAGATACTCCAGTAGTTTTTCTAGGTATCTGACAGATGAGAGGGAAGATAAGACAAAGATGTAAGGGGCAGCATAGGGTAGTGGTTGGGATCGAACCGCTGACCTCACGATCTAGTGCACAGTGTTCTATCCATCAGGCCACACCCAATACTTGAGTGGGGAAGGTTCAATACTGTACATATAATAATATCTCTTATAGCAATTTGTTGCATGCGCGCCGAGGGTTAAAAATGTTGAATATACCCCACTACATTATACACGTACACTGTACTGTGCTGTAAAACATTGTTATATACATACTTCCTATATTCCAGGGTCTTTCTCTCCTTAGGAATGTCAAACAGTCGGTCAAATGACTGGAGATACGTCAGGTAGTCCACCCGCTGTAGTCATGGTAACGATAAACATACCGTTGCCCATGGCAACAGGCTCCACCCACCTCCACTCCCTTGAGGTTGCAGAAGAGGTCGTGAAGTTGGTGGAGATCAAGAAATTTGCCATACGACTCTTCGTCTGTAAAATGGACCAGATCTGGGTGGGAAGAGCTGGTGTCATGTGACATCATGTGACATCATGTGACCTCACTCTGCAGCTCATGAGAAGGTTTTTTTCTTTCAGCATCTAGTTTCATGAACTCCATTATCATTGGTTCCTCTGTCTGTCCTTCCCCTCCATACCTAAGAGTAAAATTTACAATCGATTAATCTACTGTTTGGTCACAAGGCTCTTTTAGTCTCAGTTTGGTACAAATGGAATGCATTGTTTTTGTGACGTAATAATTCTCCAAAACTGGCTGTCTGATCCAATGACACCATGAGCAAGCAATGTATAGAATAGAACCAACTTCCATTAGTTCTACCGTTCTAATTCTCCACTCCCTCATTCTCTCCCTCTCTCTCACTTGCGGTGGTGATCTTTGAGGTGTTTCAGCCGACGGTAGAACTCGGCAAACTCGTCAGGTCCTCCCATAATCCCTATCTCCTCCTGACGCAGACCTACACACACACACACACACAGACATTACGACTGACTTCTGTACATTTGGACAACACAGATACAGTATATACTGACTATGTGGCCTCCCAACCTATACTCTCCTCACCATCGTTGTCATGGTAGAGCTCCACCAGTCTCTTGCCACACTCCACTGACCTCTCCACCAGCCCCACCTGCCGGTGCTCTGAGTTTATCTGGTCTTTCACCTGTGTAGGCAGCAAGACTAAATAGGCTTGGCAGTTCACGACGAGCCGTACGTTAGGCTTTTTGAGCATCTTTTCCTTCACGAGAGCTTCCTCCACCCTTTCCCTCTCCTCCAGTAGCTTTCTTTGAGCCTCTATCACCGTATCCATCCCTAACACACTGCCTAAAGTATCTCGTGCAGCGCAACGCCTAACGTGGGTGTTCTAATTGATGCACACCACGCATATTATCCGGTTCCCGTTTTGCAGCGTTGCAGAATGGAACCGGGCCATTGAGCTACACCCCCTTTCCACGCATGCGCTCTGCGACCTCGGTGCACGCGCAAGAAATCTTCAGCAGGGGGGCGCTCTCCTATATTGTTTTTTTGGGGTGCTGGAGCGGTAGCCATGACTCTAAAACTCGAGCTGGACGAGAAGCGCTACGTGTCTCTACTGGAGAACCTGATAGGAGAGGCTGAATTCCTTCAGAACAATCCTCCGAGATTTGTACCCCAGGAAGACAGGTAGCTAGCTGGCCAGTTTAGACTGCTAGAGTCACGTGAGAACCAGTCGCTAGCCTTGAGTCAAGTACCAATACCTTATATCGGATCTAACAAGCAGTCTTCATTTACCTTTCTCCCAAGTTACCCGTCCCTGACCTAAAAGAAGTTTAGTTTTCACTGATTTCTGCCATGCCTTTCCAACCGGCATTTTCTTGCAGTTTACACTTCAGTTCTTCTATAGGTGAACCCAGCTCCCTACTCCCTCTCCTCTTCCCCCGTCTCCAGAGCAGTGAAACATGTGCTGGCAGCTCTCCAGCCCTATCTGGTGGAGAACGGAGGAGTCTTGAAAGCCGAACATGTAACCTTCGTTGAGGGGCGTGGCAACCTCATGTTGGAGTACTGCCCTAAGGGGGCCTCTGGTGAGTGTAGCTCTTATTGACTAGGTTTTCATTTCACACAGGTTCATTGCTATGCAGCACAGTAACGTACAAGGTTAAGGATTCTACCCATTAAGAACTGCAAAAGGTGGCATTTTTTGCTCAACCCTTAGCTTCTGGAGAAAGTGCTTAAAGTGATCACAAAGGACTGTAGCCAATTGGTCCTAACTCTATAATTATGTACTAAGGACCCTCAAAGTATGTATGTGCCTAATGTAGGTACGGTGACGTTCATTGGCAGCCATCTTGATGTGGTTCCAGCCAACCCTGAGACATGGGAGAGAAACCCCTTCAAACTGATAGTTGAGGTACAGAACCCTATGAATACTATATCAGATGGATCTATCACTGAAGAATAGTGTAGCATTTTGGGAAACTAACACAGCTGGTAAAATACAATTTCTCGTTACTCGGGAAATGTGCAAAGGTTTTTAGGCAAACATAATTTCCATGATAATCCCGATGTTCCACCCCTTCTGTTGGGACTTACAAATGTTCAGTCCTGTGTGAACTCTATTTGTACAGTGGCTGTTGTTGGTGTAGCTATCTCCAAAGTTATCACAGGGTTGCAATAACTGTAGGGGGTGGTTTTTCCACTAGAGTGGGCTGTAATCTCTTTCACTATTGTATTCCATCATCATTGAGACATTTGGGGCGACACAGGCAGTGGAAGAATGAGAAACAGATTTTGCTTGGTCGTAGTAGTATATACATTCCAACAAAACCACCAATCTTTACAGGTGGCTTAAAGTCACATGTGTACTAGTGAATTCCTCTAAGTAATGGGAAATTGTCAGTTATGTCCTCTGGTCTCCAGGGAGACAAGCTGTACGGGAGAGGGACGACAGACTGTCTTGGTCACGTGGCTCTGATCACGGAGCTGTTCATCCAACTGGCAGAGAAGAAACCACCACTCAAGTTTTCTGTCCATGCCGTCTTCATCGCCAGGTGAGGGTCCACTCTGGACCACTGCATCAGGAATAGATAATGTGGTGGGGCTATTGTGTGTGTGGTGCTCTTCATCTTGAGTATATACATTACTCTTGGTCTGGTAGCAGAATGTACTCAAAAACTTTTACGACACATAAAAACAAGTTTTTGCTAAAAAAAAGTTTGTCGGGGCAGTTGGCTGACATATGTTTTCATTTCTCTTTCTGCTACAAGCATGTGCTGTTTAATCCTCATGTTTAGCACAGTAAAACCACAGGTATTCACGTGATTGCCTCCCTCCCTCATTCTCCAGTGAAGAGAACACCTCCATACAGGGGGTTGGTGTAGAGAAACTGCTGGAGGTGGGCAAACTGGACAAGCTGAAGGGAGGTCCTCTGTTCTGGGTGGACTCGGCTGACTCGCAGCCATGCATGGGTTAGTACCTGAGTTTACATGGAGGGAAGGAAGAAACAAAAAAATGTGTGCATACAGAAAAAGTGTGAAACAGCAAGAGCATTTACAGTATAAAAGTGGACAAGTGTGTGTATGACACGTGGAGCATTGAAGTGAACCTTCCCATGTGCAGAATAAACATGGGGCAGTCTGCAATGTGCTGAATCACGTTGGCATGCGCAGGAAAAGGTTTTAAAATCGTGCGCATGCTCAGTAAATCGTGGGGCAGTAAGAAAACGTTGGCATGCGCAGGAAAGTTTGAAAATGGTGTCCATGCTTAGTATATCGTGGGGCAGTAAGAAAACGTTGGCATGCGCAGGAAAAGTTTGAAAACGTGCCCATGCTCAGTAAATCGTGGGGCAGTAAGAAAACGTTGGCATGCGCAGGAAAAGTTTGAAAAACGTGCCCATGCTCAGTAAATCGTGGGGCAGTAAGAAAACGTTGGCATGCGCAGGAAAAGGTTTGAAAAACGTGCGCATGCTCAGTATATCGTGGGGCAGTAAGAAAATGTTGGCATGCGCAGGAAAAGTTTGAAAAACGTGCGCATGCTCAGTAAATCGTGGGGCAGTAAGAAAACGTTGGCATGCGCAGGAAAAGTTTGAAAAACGTGCGCATGCTCAGTAAATCGTGGGGCAGTAAGAAAACGTTGGCATGCGCAGGAAAAGTTTGAAAAACGTGCCCATGCTCAGTAAATCGTGGGGCAGTAAGAAAACGTTGGCATGCGCAGGAAAAGTTTGAAAACGTGCCCATGCTCAGTAAATCGTGGGGCAGTAAGAAAACGTTGGCATGCGCAGGAAAAGTTTAAAAAACGTGCCCATGCTCAGTAAATCGTGGGGCAGTAAGAAAACGTTGGCATGCGCAGGAAAAGTTTGAAAACGTGCCCATGCTCAGTAAATCGTGGGGCAGTAAGAAAACGTTGGCATGCGCAGGAAAAGTTTGAAAACGTGCCCATGCTCAGTAAATCGTGGGCAGTAAGAAAACGTTGGCATGCGCAGGAAAGTTTGAAAACGTGCCCATGCTCAGTAAATCGTGGGGCAGTAAGAAAACGTTGGCATGCGCAGGAAAAGTTTGAAAAACGTGCGCATGCTCAGTAAATCGTGGGGCAGTAAGAAAACGTTGGCATGCGCAGGAAAAGGTTTGAAAAACGTGCGCATGCTCAGTAAATCGTGGGGCAGTAAGAAAACGTTGGCATGCGCAGGAAAAGTTTGAAAAACGTGCCCATGCTCAGTAAATCGTGGGGCAGTAAGAAAACATTGGCATGCGCAGGAAAGTTTGAAAAACGTGCACATGCTCAGTAAATCGTGGAGCAGTAAGAAAACGTTGGCATGCGCAGGAAAAGGTTTGAAAAACGTGTGCATGCTCAGTAAATCGTGGGGCAGTAAGAAAACGTTGGCATGCGCAGGAAAAGTTTGAAAAACGTGCGCATGCTCAGTAAATCGTGGGGCAGTAAGAAAACGTTGGCATGCGCAGGAAAGTTTGAAAAACGTGCGCATGCTCAGTAAATCGTGGGGCAGTAAGAAAAACGTGTGCATTCGAAGAGAAAAGTTTGAAAAACGTGGGGCAGTTAGAAAAACGTAGAAAAGCATCCCCATGCAAAGAAAACGCATGGGACAGTTAGAAAAACGTGGAAACCAACAGTTTTTTTGTATGAAGGAACAGGAGCAAATCTTAATGGTTCATGCAAACTGCACAGTTTATACATTGACAGTGTCCCAGACTTGAGGTCTACCTCCCTCCACAGGCACAGCGACGGCCATGATGTGGACACTGCGAGCAGAGGGCCGTCTGTTCCACTCTGGACTCCCTCACAAAGGAATAAACTCCCTGGAGATGGGCATGGAGGCCGTCAACTACGTTCAGTCTCAGTTCTACAAGGACTTCCCAGCTGTAAGTCTAACAGTCTCAATGGAGGAGATTTTCATACCCTTTTGACAAGTCCAATGTCGATTTGTTTACCCTTGCAAAAAGCTTTTATCTTTCCCTTATCACTCCAAACCTTTGTCATTTTGCCCCAAAACTGCACTTTTTTCCGCTGTGTTGAAGTGATTTATTATACAGCTACATACATAGCTGTATACATTTCATCCCACAGCATGCTGACGAGGAGCGCTACAAGTTTTCTACTCCGTCGACAATGAAGCCAACTCAGATCCGGTGTTCTGAGGGTTCGGTGAACCAGATCCCCCATGGACCGAGATACAGGGGGACATTCGTCTGACTCCCTTCTATGATGCTGAGACCTGTCTGGAGAAGGTGAAGGGATATGTGGAGACTCTTAACAATGGTGAGGAGAGAGGGGAGAGAGTTGGCCCAGAGGGAGAGGGAGGGGAGAGGGAGAGAGTTTGTGTGTTCATCTCCATCTCAGATCTGTCTCTGCTGCCAACTCGTGGTCCTTGCAGTAAGTACACTCTGGATATTCCTGAGGTAATCATGTCATCAATATGAGAATTGTCTTCCAGTCTTTTGGCATACAGCAGTAATATAGCTTGTAATATTTGTAAATAAGTGACCACAAGTATTTCAAACTCGCTGCAGGCTGAAGCAGAGGGAAAGTCGAAAGGCAAACTCATCTTCACTCTGGATGGAGGCATACTGAGGGTAACGTACCTACACTGAGTTTTCTGTCAAAACAGCAAAAGTTTCGTTCTTAAACTTTTCCGCTACACCTCTGGAAAATACCCCTGTTTTGTTACAACTCTTTTAGACCCTTGTTTGTTTTAGTTCACCAAATCCTTCTGTCCCCTGACCACACGTCCCTCGTCCCTCACTGCAGGGGATAGCATGCAACCTGGACTCCAAGGGATTCCACAGACTGAACGACGCCACCAAGGAGGTCCTGGGAGAGAGCAAACCATACTCCATCTGTGGCAGTCTGCCTCTTGTCGGAGACCTCCAGAGAGCCGGCTTTGATATCCAGGTACCTGGCTTACCTTACTCCTTGCTAACGTAGCTAACACAGCTGTAGGTATTGTAGCTGTCTTCCTTATTAGCTGAAATTGCCATGATGATGTAAAACTCACGGTCATACTTATCCAAGATTACCCCTGGGGTTATCCTCTCTCTCTCTTTCTTCTGCTTCACCTCTTCTTCTGCAGGTGTGTGGATATGGTCACTCCAGTGTGTACCATGGCGACAACGAATACTGCAGTCTGTCTGCCATGCAAGCAGCTATGAAGATCCTCAGCTCTCTGTTGGACAAGTTCAACTGAACAGTACTGCTCTAGCTAGGGCTCTAGATATACAACTACATATATACCTAGTGGTGATTTAATTTGACTTCGCAACGCGTGAGTGCGCATGCGCATGGAAACGACACACGTGAGGGCGCCGATGATTTTTGTGCAGGTATAATACTAGCTAGACCGTGTATCTAGCTGTGCGAGTACACTTCGTGTCTTTGTCTCGTTTGGCAGCCTTGAGGACCTGATCTGAATAGCTAGACATGTCGACACGCAGTAAACGCTCGGCTGCATCGGCGGGCGCAGTCAACCACCTCGACGTGGCCACTCCAGTCAAGATGGCCAAACTCAACAACCTCACCGCCTCCTCCACTACTATCGCTGCCGCAGAGGGAAAGGGCGGGAAACAGACCAAGACTGCAGCTGCCACTGGTACAACGAGCCCCGATCAGCACTATCAGCACATGACCTGCATCTCATTCTTCTCCATTCTCAGTTTTCGCCCCCATTTTCCCTCTCGCCCCACTTTGTCTTTACCCTTGACCCCTGCCATTCAGGTGACTCTCCCAGTGTTCGGTCCCTCGTCTCCTCGACCCCTGTCTACGGCCCAGCCCCAGAGTCCCCTGCTGTTGCCAAGGCGTGGCTGGAGGACCATGGTAACAGTCTCGGTCATTTCATCAACGGGACGTGGGTGAAACCGGAGGGAAGAAAGACGTATGACACAGTCAACCCTGCCACTGGAGAGAAGCTGGCCTCCACTATCCAAGGTACACGTCCAGCTGTACATATGAGAGGTTATTGATGAGTATAGCATTTGCAAGTGGTAGTTGTCCGAATTGTGAATTAGTGGTGGTTACTGTGCCACATATGAGAGTTGAACAACACATGCTTACCTAAAGCCGAAATTATTCACATGACCTTTAGCCATTTCATTGTCATTAAAGTTTGTATATGAAGTAAGCAAACATGTGAAATTGTGTTTTAACTCTTTCCTCACCAACTCTTTCCACACCAGGAGTACAGGAGGACGCAGACCTGGCAGTGGCAGCTGCAAAGAAGGCGTTTGAGAGTTGGAGTCGTCTCCCTGGACACGTGAGAGCCAGGCACCTGTACAGCATCGCCAGACATGTCCAGAAACATGCCAGGTTAGGATGAGTGGGTGGGGAGGAACAGTGTGTATGTCTGTATGGGCTAGGGGAGGGTTCATGTTCAGAGCACTGTTCCTCCTGTGAAGAAGGAAAATGGGGTAAGAATATATTCATTTCTGACTTTGTACAAATAGAGGTGCAAGAAAGGGAAGTATTATTCCCAACTATTCACAGGTTGATCGCAGTGGTGGAGAGTATGGACAATGGAAAGCCAATCAGAGAGAGCAGAGATCTCGACATTCCTCTAGTGGCAAGACATTTCTACCATCATGCCGGTACAGCAGAGATGGACGGACAAAGAGTTCTTTAGAGGACTTAATTTCTCTCTCTTGCTCACTTTTTAATGGTGCAACGGAGACAGAATCTTGTGCATTCTTAATGTCAAGTATTGTTTGACTGTGTATGTGTATGTGTGTTGGTCCTTTTTTGCTTCAACCTCACCCTCTTTCTCTAAGGCTGGGCTCAGCTGATGGAGGAAGAGATGAAGGGGTGGGCTCCAATTGGAGTGGTGTGTGCCATCGTCCCGTGGAATTTTCCTCTCATGCTCTTCACCTGGAAGGTGGGGTTTGACCTCTAACCCCAGGGGGTGTGGCCTCATGTATATCTCTCTTGGCAGGTGTGTCCGGCGCTGGCCATGGGGAACACTGTGGTTCTGAAGCCAGCCACATACACCAGACTCAGTGCTCTGCTGTTTGCTGAGATATGTGCCGAGGCTGGCCTTCCTCCTGGTAGGTTGACTAGTGTACCATTTCTAGGATAATAGTGGCAATACTGAGCCTTGTTTCAACTACTGTTGTAGCTTCTCCTAAAACAATGATGGGGAACCAATGATGGGAACCAATGATGGGGAACCAACTGTACAGTGAAAATTTTACTATTGTTTTGTACTTCAAGTGGAGCATGGGGGGGAAATGACAGACAAATTATCCATGCTGAGTAGTTTGACAATAGCTGTAGATCACGTTCACTTGAAGTATATACACACTGACCCACCCCCTATCACTTGAAGTACACACTACCCAACCATCCCTAATACCCACCCCCTATGTTTGTATTGCAGGAGTACTGAACGTAGTGACAGGACCTGGGTCATTTGGTCAGATGATTGCCACTCATCCTGATGTCGACAAAGTGGGGTTCACTGGATCCACTGAGGTACATCACTTACACATGATGTATGAAATTTTAGGGAGGGTCTGAAACCATTTTATATCCACACTTCTTATCCTGCGTGCTAGTCATTCATCGGGTGTCAAGTGTGCACCTAATAACAAGTAATTGAATCACCAACCTTTTTAGGCACTAACACAGCCATTTGATGAAACTATGTATATATCTATGTATAATGGTCCAACAGGTAGGTCAGAAGTTGCGAAGAGCCATCGCAGGATCGGGGAAGAAGATCTCCCTGGAACTGGGAGGGAAATCCCCTTTCGTCGTCTTTGACTCTGCTGATCTGGACAGCACTGTGGAGGGAGTGGTCGATGCCATCTTCTTCAACCAGGGACAGGTCTCATTCCCATTCCCCATACACCTCCCACTCCCCTCTATCTCACTCCCACCTTCCCACTTTCCCTCTATCTCACTCCACGTTCCATTCCGTGGTACCAGGTATGTAGTGCTGGGTCCCGACTACTGGTACAGGAGAACGTGGCACAGACAGTGGTCAAGAAGATCAAGAACAGAATGACTCACCTTCGAGTGGGGGACTCCCTTGACAAGGTTGAATACAACCTTATAATACCATATAACTAGCTAACACAGCCTTTGTAAAATTGTGCAACTCGATGAAAAATATTCGTGAAAGTTGTATATACAGTACATGAGTAGACACAAGTTTATCTTTCTTTCCACTCTCCCTCCCTCTCTCTCCTCTCCCTCCCTCTCTCTCCTCTCTCTCCTCAGGGAATAGACATGGGTGCCATAGTTGACCCAAGTCAGAGGAAGTCAATAGACGACTATGTTCAGGAGGCTAGGAGAGATGGGGCAGAGGTGTACCAGGCGTGTGCCGCCATTCCCTCCAATGGCTGTTTCTATCCTCCCACCCTCATCACTGGTGTTCAGCCAGTGTCTCGCTGCGTTCAGGAAGAGTATATACTTAGACGCATTGACCAATCAGATTGTGTAAAATTTGGAGTTCAAATCCCGTATTTTCCAAGTGCGTGTTACCACCGAGATGCCTGCCAAAAAATGGCGTCTTAGCGTGTCAACCATCTGCGCAGAAAGTTCTTCAAATTGCTAACCTGAGTACTGTTGTCTCCCCAGATATTTGGTCCTGTGCTGACGGTGCTGACGTTCAGAACTCCAAAGGAAGCCATAGCACTTGCTAACAACACAAGATATGGCCTTGGTAGGTCACATGATGTCACATAATCATACCTATGTTAATTTTTGTGAGTATCATGATGAGATCACCTGATGTCACATGACCTGTCACATGACGCAGGGTCCAGTGTGTGGACAGAGAACCTGACGCTGGGACTGGAGGTGGCGCTGTCTCTCAAGTCTGGGGCGTGTTGGGTCAACTCTCACAACCTCTTTGACGCAGCTGCTGGGTTCGGAAGTTACCGAGAGAGCGGCTTCGGAAGGGACGGAGGGAAGGAGGTCAGAGTACGCACTTGTCCGGGGTACTGGGAGCTAAAGGGTCTTTATAAACATGTGGCACAGCTAGAAAGGTCCTAAGGGTGAAGATAACTGTACAAACTACCTTGTCTTAGTTGAGTTCCCTTCCATGAGTGATTTTTCCCAAAGGTTTTAGAACATGTTTTGTACGGTGAAAAAACGTTGCAAGAATCACAAAGTTTTATTTTTCGTTTGTGATGGTGTTGTCCGCCAAGTGCATTAAAAATAATTATCTTTTGTCTTAAAGTCTTTAACAGAATCCTTGTTTATGGTGCTGTGCGCATTGTGTATAATTATATATAGCATGACATCATAAGTTTTGTTGATGATGTAAATTAGGGGTTGTATGAGTACGTGAAGCCAGCTTGGCAGACGAGGCCACGCCCACAAATTGACGAGGAGAAGGTCAAGAACTTCGGCAAGAACGTCGCCCCACGACCTTTGAACCCCAGCCAGAAGGAGTTGCAGCTGTATCCCGTTGCCATGGAGATAGAAGGGAGTCAGGCACCAAGGTCAGTGACCTCCACACACACGCACTTTCTTCATCAGACCTGCATTAACTGTAGTATATAATTACACTATAGGGTATTTCTGCACATGCGTGTTTTTGCGATGACCATCTATATGTATTTTAATGTGTATTGTGCGGTTCATGTACTACATCACTGGCTGAAGAGGCTACCCTGCACAGAATGTTTCCAACATTCCAGAAATTCCATATCATGTTCGGATTTCTCCGTGTCGAATGCCTGGGATAGAAGCTTGGTTACGAATTCTTAGAAATGGACGAAATTCGATTCATTTTGCAATATTCACCGTCTCAGATCTTGAGTTTAATGAATTCTGAAAAGCAGAAGTGGTGTGATGTACAAGGACCAATCAAATTGCAGTTGTTATGGTGAACCGTGTACCTATTCCAGTATTCACATATCTCATTAAACCCTCCAAATATGGTCTGGCAGGCCTGGGTCTGCAAATATCACTCTGAATTGGTGGAGGACAGAAAATCTCGGTTAGCTTGCCTCCAGCGAGGGTTACGGTAGTCGTTCTGTGTGTCTGTCTGTCTGTCTGTCTGTCTGTCTGTCTGTTTGTTACCATGTTTTCTGCCACCACGTGCAACAAACAGGCCAAAAGCGACACCAACGGGTTCAGCGAACTTTAGTGCTCTTGCGCGCTTTCTCGGATCAGAGACACCGTACCGTTTATGATAATATGTCATGGCACGGACAAACTGTGTAGCGGATCAAATTATTTATTATCGCTCATCACAAACCAACGGGCCTGTCCACATGACGTATAAACCCGGACCACACATATTATGTTTGAGCAAACGTGTATTGGTGTCATAGCCCCCACTGTGGGACTCCACGCCGAGGGTTTAGCACTTCAGTGCCTTTCGTTAAGAATCAGTCTTGATGTCATCTTCATCTTGAATAGGAAGACTCTTCAACAGAAATCCTTACCCATGTCCCTCTTAAAAATTTACCCCCCAGAAACTTTAATACAGCTTTTTCAGGTTGCTGTACCCACTAATTAAACACTATAGTGTTATTGGACAGTACACAGCTAGTTTCAGTATCCATTAGTATCACTGAAATCTCCAAATAAGGTCTGGTATGTCGGAAGCCGCAGATCTCAGACTGTGAATATTGGTAGAGTGACAGAAGCCAATGGCTGTTTCCTGTCAGCCTTGGAGTTAGCACATTGCCTTTGCTTGCTTCTTGCTTTATCAGCTTGCTTGCCTCAGTCTTGACTAGACCCTCTCTCTAGCTTGTCTGCTGCACTACTGACAGAGCCATGGCTGCCAAACCCTCCACTGCTGCCGAGAAAGCTCTCCAGAAAGTTGAGGACCAGGTCACCTGTGGGGTATGTCTGGAGCCCTACAAACAGCCGAGGCTGCTCAAGTGTTGCCACGTCTTTTGTGAGCAGTGCCTGCAACATCTGGTACGTAGGGGACGAGTTGAATGTCCACAATGTCGCCAGGTGACTCCTCTGCCAGTGGGCGGAGTCCCGGGGCTCCAAAGAGCCTTCTACATCCACGACCTCTTTGATGCTCATGATGCGCTCAAGAAAGTGAGCTCTCGTGACCACTGTAGCAGGCATCCAGAAAAAGAAGCAGATTTGTACTGCGAGGAATGTGACCAGCTTATCTGCAGTCACTGCCTTGTTCCCGATCATCGCAACCACAACTATGATCTGGTGCCAAAGGTATTCCCCAAGCAAGAGAAAGTGATCGTGGACTCTCTCAAGCCAGTGGAAGAACAGATTGCTACGTTTGAAAGAGCTGCTGAGTCATTCGACACTCGATGTGCTGCAGTCGCAGAACAGAAGACGGCTGTGGTGGCAGAGATCCGCACTGCCATGGCAAAACTGCGACAAGCTCTAGAGGCGAGGGAGACAGAGCTGGTGGGTCAAGCAGAGCAGACGGCACAGCAGAAACTGAAGACCTTGGCAGCACAGCGAGATGGGTTTGAACTGCAACTGGGCCAGCTGAGGAGCTGCCAGGACTTTGTGGAGGAGAGCCGACGTACTTGCAGCCAGGGGGGAGATTCTGAGGATGAAGAGTCCTCTCGTAAAACAAGTCAACGACCTGACAGGCAGCTTCAAGCCAGACACATTGGCACTTGCCGAGCAAGCCGACATGAAGTTTGCTCACAGTCTGCCTGAACTGGTGAAGACTTGCCAGCAGTTTGGTAAGGTGTACCAGTGCCCTGAGATGTATCAAGCCTCAGGTGAAGGCATTAAGGTGGCAATGAGAGGGCAAACAGCGGCTATTTCTATACAGGCTTTTGATAGGGAGGGAGAAGCCTACCTCAGACCTGTAGACAACTTGAGGTGTGAGCTAGTTGCTAGTGATGGCAGCAGTCGAGTCAGCGGCACTGTGAATAGACGAAATCAGAACATTTACGACATCAGCTACCAGCCTCGGGTCACTGGAGAACATCATCTATACATTCTAGTAGAAGAGCAACCGATCTTGAACAGTCCGTTCACTGTCACCGTTCTACCCAACTTCACTGCTCCAGCCAACATTATCGGACACCTCAAGGGGCCATATGGTGTAGCGGCCAGGGAGAGAGGGGAGGTGGTGGTGGTAGAGAATGATCGTCACCGCGTATCAATCATCAGTATAAATGGAAGGAAAAGATCGTTTGGTACTTTTGGCTTAGTTGGTCCTGGTCGGTTCAAGGAACCTTCACGTATTGCAATAGACAGTGGAGGAAACATTCTTGTAACTGATCAAGACAACCATCGTATTCAGCAGTTTTCGTCCGCTGGCAAGTTCCTCAGAACAGTCGGTACCCAGGGCAGTCGACCTCTTCAGTTCCAGAGCCCAGATGGTATTGCAGTTCATCCTCTCACTGGCAAAGTGTATGTCGCTGACGCCGGCAACGACATAATTCAGGTTCTGAACTCTGACCTCACGTACTTCAGTAGTTTCGGTACAAGTGGCTCTAACAATGGAGAATTATGTGGCCCTTCTGATATAGGTATTGACAGAGAAGGCAAATGTGTACGTTGCTGAATATGGCAACCACAGAATCCAGGTCTTCACATTTAGTGGAGTGTACTTGAGGCAGTTTGGGAAGAAGGGAGAAGGAGAGGGAGAACTAAACGGGCCAGTCAGTATAGCTATTGACTCTGGCAATGTAGTGTATGTTGGTGAATATGGGAACGATGATCGTATATCAATATTCTCAACTGATGGAGAGTTTATCAAGTCATTTGGAAAGGGTCCTGTGGAGTTCAGTTGTCCATATGGACTAGCAGTAGACAAGAAAGGAACACTGTATGTCAGTGACTTTGGAAACGATCGTATTCAGATCTTCAAGTAACATCTCTCGCTATCACTAACCTTCTATATCTTTGTTTTGAATATATATTGTATTGAATCGCAAATGTAGTCATCTGATTTTACTAGCACTTTCACTACTGTAATGCTGTAAAATAGAATTGGTATAAAATAGTGTTCAACCACTTAAATTTTACATTTGATCATGAATAATTTTGAAGGTTAAAATGTTCACGTATGTATGAATACGGAACTGTCGCAACAAACATTTTTCTCCCCCTCTCAATTATGCGACTTCTGTTAATGTCCACCATCAAGATGTGTGCTAACTCTCGTTCTCTCTCCCCTGGTCTCAGTATTGATCGAACTCTGAAGATGTACATCGGAGGGAGTCAGAAGAGACCAGATGCTCCGTACTGTCGACCCGTCCGCGGAGCCTCTGGGGGTGTGGTTGGTCAGGTTGCCGAGGGCAACCGTAAGGACATCCGAGAGGCAGTAGAGGCAGCACACAAGGCAGCTCCTGGGTGAGTTTGCTCTCTACAATGAGGGAGATGAAATCTGTTTCCCTGTCTCGGCAGGTGGGGTAAGAGGGCAGCTCACAACAGAGCACAGATAGTCTACTACATCGCCGAGAACCTGGAGCTACGCCACAGGGAGGTCGCTCAGAGGATCGCTGACATGACAGGTCGGCTCATGTGACTGTCATGTGACTGTCATGTGACTGTCACGTGACTTCCATGGCTACAGGTCGTCAGTATGAGGACTGTAAGAAGGAGGTAGATCTGTCAATCCGGAGACTGTTCTACTGGGGAGCCTATGCCGACAAGTTTGGAGGAACTGTGCAGGTACGTATGGAACACAAACCATTCTGAGTGTTCCTTCAAGTTTGTCGTACTGTGCATGCTGTGACAGTGGAAAATGTAGTTCACAAATGCCAGGTTTCGTCTTTCATCTTTAACGCCACATCAACTTCTTGTGTCCCCTTCTGCCCCTCTCTCTCTGCCAATCATTCTCTCTCTCCTCCATTTCCTCCACCAGGAAACCACCCTCTACGGTGCCACTGTTCGTATCAATGAACCTGTTGGAGTCATCGGCATTGCGTGCCCTGACCAGTTCCCTCTACTAGCTTTCGTCTCTCTCTTCGCCCCCGCTGTCGTCAGAGGCAACACCGTCGTCATAGTACCCAGCGAGACCGCACCCCTCTCTGCCACCGACCTCTACCAGGTCACATGTCCTCTGTTTGAGATCACATGATCACAGTGTGATGTCACATGACATCTGTTTTAAGACACATGATCTATTGTGATGTCATATATATACTGCGCAGGTGTTTGATACGTCGGACCTGCCAGGGGGTGTGGTCAACGTAATTACTGGTTCCCGTGACCACCTCACTAAGTACCTGGCTGAACACCAGGATGTGGAGGCCATGTGGTAAGAACTGCCTTTTTAGCGGAGATATTCTAAACTGCAACCAGTGGAAATCCTTTTCTAAGGACACCTCTAATAGAATACCTTTCATTTCCCAAGAACAGAGAATTGCGTGAATTTAACCCCTTACAGAGGGTGTGCCTCATGAATAATGAACACTGTATACTGTCCCATTGGTGTCTGGATTGAATGTCCGCTGCTGCTGTGGCTGATTGGCTGGTTCTCCGTGTGTTTTGATGGCTGATTTCCGTGCAGGTACTTCGGTAGTGCAGAGGGATGCAAGTTTGTGGAGACTGCCTCGTGTGGCAACGTGAAGAGGTCATGGGTCAACTACGGGCTGTCCCGAGACTGGATCAGCATGGAACAGGGACAGGTGGAATGAAATGGAGCCGGCAACTCCACCACTAACCCTCCTCTCTCTTCCAATGCAGGGCGAGGAATTTCTATACCATGCAACCGAGGTGAAGAACATATGGCTGCCGATGGGAGAGATCTTTGCCAACTGAACATTTGATTACTGAACAAATTCCAAACTTCTTTTGTGATTCTCAAATTTTTTGTAGTGAATATTATATGAGTGACAACAAATTGTGATATCATGTGATCTATATGTAGTAGTTATACCCTTTTGTAATTTCTTTTCTATATTATAATCGGTTAGGTTTATATTCTATACCATTTTGTATATCACACAAAATTATGTATGTCAATGTCAAATTTTTGGATTTTACAAGATACAGTGAAAATATCACAAGGAATTATAATTAGCTACGAAAAGTGTTGTGTTTCAATTGAGCAATGCCGAAAATAGAACAGTTCTGTAGTTGATGTGTTGGGTAGTAGAGCACACTTGGGGAGGGGTGTCACTGGTCGTCATGGATACTAGTGAAGTCAAACGTAAAGTCCTGTGTTGCTGCTTTGAGAGTGTTCTTGATCACCATGGCGACAGTGAGAGGCCCCACCCCCCCAGGGACGGGAGTCACCATCCCTGCTACCTGGCACACCTGTGTATAGGGGTCAGAGGTCAAGTGATGTAATAGGAGTGATGTAATGATTACCTCATCGAAGGCAACATCACCGACGATTTTATTGTTGGCTAGTCGTGTGATCCCTAGGAAAATAGAAGACTGACTGACTGGAGTTTGTGCATGTTACTCTCATAATTATTATAGCACGATAATGTTTCAGGTTATTGCCTCTTCTGCTGTTTTGGAAGGCAATAATAAGAGTACAGCAAACTCAAGTTCACAGAAAATGAATAATTTTGGAAGGCAAAAATATAACTCAAGTTTATGCCTTGGGGTAAAAAACGTAATACAAAAGTCAGGGAAGAGAACTAAAGTCTGAATCGATTGAGACAATGAAAAAAGGGGGTGTGTACCAATGTCGATGACAGTGGCTCCATCTTTCACCATGTCAGCCTGTATCAGCCCCGGAATACCTGCAGAGGTATATAGAGATTATTGAGGGCTTCTTCGAAACACAATTCGTGGACCCCACAAGCTGTAATAGGCAATGAAGCTTTCGGTGATGTAAACATAAAGTAGAATTGCACACAAATTACTTTCAGCCATATTCATGTGCAGAACAATCTCGTCAGATGTGAGAAATGGAGAAGTATGTATGTACCCGTGGCAACAATGATGATGTCAGCCAGTCTCGTCATCACTGGGAGCTGCTCTGGGGGCGTGTACCTGTAACCATGGCAGTGACATTGTGTTATACGATAGGTTGTCATGGTAATAGATAAAGGGTATTACTGTACCTGTGGCATATGAGTGTGGTTGCATCACCAGTTCCATCGCTATGGAGAAGAGTGGCCAGTGTAAATCCTGCATTTTTTGCAGGAACATGAGAAAACAAAACGACAAACCAACCATCCCTAATACTTTGCCTAATGTTCCAGGGTGGAATAGCAATACTAATCTTGCCCTATATCGTCTTTCCTTTACTCCCTCATCCAATCCTAGGAACAGTTTTGCATTTTTTGCAGGAACACGAGTAAACAAAACGACAAACCAACCATCCCTAATACTTTGACTAATGTTCAAGGGTGGAATAGCAATACTAATCTTGCCCTATCTCGCCTTTACTTTTACTCCCTCATCCCATCCTAGGAACAGTTTTGCATTTTTTGCAGGAACACGAGTAAACAAAACGACAAACCAACCATCCCTAATACTTTGCCCAATGTTCAAGGGTGGAATAGCAATACTAATCTTGCCCTATCTCGCCTTTACTTTTACTCCCTCATCCCATCCTAGGAACAGTTTTGCATTTTTTGCAGGAACATGAGTAAACAAAACGACAAACCAACCATCCCTAATACTTTGACTAATGTTCAAGGGTGGAATAGCAATACTAATCTTGCCCTATCTCGCCTTTACTTTTACTCCCTCATCCCATCCTAGGAACAGTTTTGCATTTTTTGCAGGAACACGAGTAAACAAAACGACAAACCAACCATCCCTAATACTTTGACTAATGTTCAAGGGTGGAATAGCAATACTAATCTTGCCCTATCTCGCCTTTACTTTTACTCCCTCATCCCATCCTAGGAACAGTTTTGCATTTTTTGCAGGAACACGAGTAAACAAAACGACAAACCAACCATCCCTAATACTTTGACTAATGTTCAAGGGTGGAATAGCAATACTAATCTTGCCCTATCTCGCCTTTACTTTTACTCCCTCATCCCATCCTAGGAACAGTTTTGCATTTTTGCAGGAACACGAGTAAACAAAACGACAAACCAACCATCCCTAATACTTTGACTAATGTTCAAGGGTGGAATAGCAATACTAATCTTGCCCTATCTCGCCTTTACTTTTACTCCCTCATCCCATCCTAGGAACAGTTTTGCATTTTTTGCAGGAACACGAGTAAACAAAACGACAAACCAACCATCCCTAATACTTTGACTATAGTTGGATGGTGGAATAGCAACACTTTCTCACCTCTATTGGCTTCACGTTGTTTAATTAAACTGCTGACATTTTTTTTGTTCCCTTGCCAATAATGTGTGTCATTAGTGAAATATAATATGAGACAGACTGTAGTAAGTACCGATATTCTTGGATCTGTTGGCGATGCAGACGTTCTTGCCAAATGTTGGAACCCTCAATCTCTTGATGATCTCCAGTACTCCCAGTGGTGTGGCTGGAACAAATCGCGGGTCTCCCGAACAGAAATGACCTTATGAGGGAGGAAGGGGATGACATAATAATGATGTCATCATACATGCTTCTACGTTTATATGCTAACATGCTTCACAATGTGCCCCATAGAATATACCCACACATTAGAGGAAGCTGGGAACAAAGGTGTGTCTTGGCCATTAAGTATGAAGCTAGTAATATAGGAGGCAGGATTATAGGGGCTGACCAATGTTGTCTATGTGAAAGGCGTCCACATCTTTATTAGGAGGTACTGCATTACATATAGTCTTCTCGTGAATATGTGGAGGTAGTGGCAATTGTACTAGAATACCATCTACCTGCACATAGAGAGGGGATGGGAGAGGCATATACAATAGTACTGAGAGTGAAACATGAAAATCTCAAATGTATGGGCATAATGCAGGACAACCCGTGTCATCCCTATATGGGCATAATGCAGGACAACCCGTGTCATCCCTATATACTAAGTACTACCGTACTTCGTGATATGGAGAGTAGATTGCAACCAATTTTAGAGTGGAAATTCAACTTTCTTTACAGCAGAACTATACATGTGCAGATGTATCTCCACATGTAGAGACAGGGAGCCATTTTACGGTTGACACCACAACTAGTGGAGTCTATAGTTTGCCTCAGTCACAATAATTTGTTGTGCAAATAGTTCCGTCCACACAAACAATGCCTTAATTGTCATATAGAATCACATGCAGGTGTGGAAAAATCTATATCTACTCTATACTATGTTACCAGTTCGTCCCTGCCCAACTGGTGGAGGATATCCAGCAGCTCATTCTGCTCCAGAGAACTGTCTCTCTTCAGGATGGTCGCCCTGAGCCCGCACTTCTCTGCAGCCTTCATCTTGTTCCCCACGTAGATCTGTGAGGCCTTGTCGTCACCCACTATGACTGCCGTCAGATGAGGCGGTCTCTTACCTCCAGACACCAGCCCCGATACCTGGGGGGGTATTGGTTTAAAGTGTGCGGGGGGAAATTGAGGTAAGCGAATTGCACTAAGTGTTCCGCCTAAAATGAGGCGAGGGGCACAACTCATTTTCAAGCGACCTAAAGAGTTTTATAAGCTAAAATTTGGAGGAAGAAAACTATTATTAGCCTGAGCATATTTTTCCTAATTAGCTCATTAATGTAGCATAATATGGTGCATACACTCAACTGTATATCAGTAGTAAGTATAGATTATGGATAGAATACACTGTTACCTCATCTGCAACCTCAGCCTTCACGGCCTCGGCTATCCTCTTGCCATCTATGATCTTAGACTTGAGTCCAGGCCTCGTGTAGAGGAACTGCTCCCGGGCAGAGGCCCCGCTACCGAAACTGCGAGCGGGGCTCCAGTTGCTGGGAAGACGGGGCCACGCGCACACCGCGGAGAGGGAGCGAGGAAGATAAGAAAGACGTAAACCTGCAGCAGCCATGATGCCCGATTGTATCGCACCTCGATGAACGTGACACGCCCACTGAATCTGTAAGGTACCTTATGCGCATGCGCATTATCTAGAGCATGCGCGTACTGATTTACTACTACTATAAGGGGCTTCCCCATTCTCTGTTCTTGCTCCACGTGTAGTGTTTCGCCTGCTGCTGAGGGCTGGAGGGAGAAAGAAGGGTGGAGATGGGGAGTGAAGCGGTGCCGTCCGATCTCCTACCGCACGTCTACTCGTTCCTGGTCCAGAATAAGCTTCACAAGGCCGCCAACAGCCTCAAGAAGGAATGCGGTGTGGTGAGCCATACTCTACTGCAGTAGACACTGGGGCTGTTAGTGCAGCAGTAGTAGTAATACTTGCAATATGTTGGGACAGTTATCTGCATTGGTACACATGGGCTGCACTATATTGAACACCTTCGCTTATCACAGACTCTGCAGACTCTAAAGGGACCAGGTCTTATGGATTTCTACCAGCTCTACAGACGGAGGTAGGTATATAGAGGAACTCTGTTATGTGTGTGTGAGAAAGAGAGGGACCTTACTGGGTTCATATGATTACACTGTGCTACGGAAGTCTATTCTTACTACAAACACATGCTTTGCGTTGTGCTAGCCTCTGCAACATTTGTGAACCTGACCTTACTACCTGGCCTTACTCTCTGCAGTCATGGGTCTAAACGAACAGTAAGTCTGAGAGAGAAGAGCGAAGATGCAACTGAGGCAGAGCCACCTCCAAAACGACGCAAGAAAGATACCTCGCAACAGCAGAAACCAGCTACAAAACCAGCAAACAAGATGCCAACAGTTTCAACCAAACTGCCGCCTCGACCTGAACCACCAGTAGATACCAGCTCTGATACTAGTGATACGTCATCTAGTTCTGAGGACGAAGGAGGGAGAGAAGGAAAGGAAGGGAAGATTTTGAAAGGAAAACCTGCTCCTGCCAGTAAAACGACAGATACCAGCAAGAAATCTGGACAGAAGTCGGTCGTAGCTCAGAAATCGTCTCTGCAGTCGAAAAAAGTACAGAAACCATCACAAAAGGAGGGAAAGATAGCGGAAGAATCGTCGTCGTCCGAAAGTGAAAGTAGTTCAGACGAGGCAGAAACTGAGACGACAAAACCTGAGCCTCCAGTGAAGACAGCAAAGAAACAGACAATAGCTGTCAAGAAATCTGGGGACGGAAAGGGACAGAAAACGACAGCTAAAAAGCAAGCACCGCCATCCTCCCCTAGTAGTGAGGATAGCTCCAGTGCCAGTGAGGCTGAGACTTCTGCAAAACTGAAGAAAGTGGGGAAGACAACAGCTGGAGCTACAGGGAAGAAGACTGCCACTGTGGTGGAGGGAGGGAAGAGAGGGAAGAAGGTGCGGGGATCTAGTAGCAGCAGTGAAGATAGTTCCAGCGACAGCGAGGGAGAGGAAGAGGAACAGAAGAAAACAAAGCCAGCTGGGAAACATGCAAAGACAGCGGTTGGAAAGACAGCGGCAGCGAAACCACTGGGTAAAGTTGCAGGGGTGGGAAAGGCAGTGGGTGTTGGGGGAAAAAAGGGTGGGGTGGGGGTCCCGCCAGTGACACTGGTGAAGAAACCAGCGAATGCTGGAGGGAAGAGTGCCGGAGTGGGGAAACAGGTGAAGGTGCAGGCAGTGAGACAGACGAAGGAGCAGTCTACCAGTGACAGTAGTACATTATCTTCATCCAGTGAGAGCGAGGAAGAGGAAGAGGAGGAAGAGAAAGGGAAGAAAGGACTGGAGACAGTTGTGAAGAAAGCTGCCACTAGCCAGAAGTCAGCAGCGGTGAAACAAAATGGTGGAGCAGTTGAAAAGAAGACGACCAAACAGCCGGAGAAGAAAGAGTCCAGTAGTGAGGTATCATCATCATCCAGTGAAGACAGCGACTCTGAGACCACGGAACCCGTCAAACCAGTCGGCAAACCTGTTTCAAAACCAGGAACTAAACCAGCTTCAAAACCAACCCCAAAGCCTGTTTCAAAACCAGGAACTAAACCAGCTTCAAAACCAACCCCAAAGCCTGTTTCAAAGCCAAAGACAGCAGAACCTGGAGACGGTAAGAGTGGAGGGAAGCAGCAAAAGAAGAGGGAGAAAAAGATGGTGACATCCACACCAAAGATTGTGGGGAAGACGAAGAAGACGGACGACAGCTCAGGTAGTTCGTGGAGTGAGACTGAGGAAGAGGGGAGAGAGGTCCCTGAGAAGAGAGAAGGAGAGAGGAAGGTGGTCGCGGGGAAGAAGAGTGGGAAGAAGGGGAAGGAGACATCTGAGAGTGAGATGGAGGTCGAGGAGTCTCCAGTGACTGGTGGAGGGAGCAAGACCGGCACACCAGGTATGGAGACGGTGGGTGTGGCCTGTAATTAGTGGGTGTGGTCAGCTTGTATTGTTTACTGCAGCAAGTACTGGAGAGTTGGCAAAAACCCCAGCCACAGTCCCTCTTGCCAAGAAGAAAAAGGTACTGTTCTTTGCTCAGTAGCATCTTCGCTACGGCATTGTGTATTCTGGTCTCTTCTGTTTCCATAGAAACTCAAGTCTCCGGGGACGACGCCGTTCCGTCGTGTTGGCGTGGAGACGGAGGTGGATCCGCGACTGGCAGACAATTCATTTGAGGCTAAGGCAGGGGCGAGGGGGGCCTGGGGGGAGAGAGCTAATCAGGACCTCAAGTTCACCAAAGGTCAGCAGCACTCTGTGGTTTAACATTGTGTCAGCAACGAGGCTCCTGCGCGATAATATAAGGAAATACAACTCTGCTTGCACAATGTTCTTATCAATGATGTCATTGTTGTGTGTGGTGTGTGCAGGTAAGTCATTCAGACATGAGAAGACGAAGAAGAAGAGAGGATCGTATCGCGGAGGCACCATCGACACGCAGGTCTACAGTATCAAGTTTGATAGTGAGTGACAGATACTACTATTGCTGCTGCCATAATTCAGAGCTACGTATTTAAAAATTGTATCATTTCACATGTCCAATTGTACAGTTCACAATGATGTAATGATTACAAAAACAGTAGGGCATGGGCTACTTCTGCTGCCCAACGATCTCAATTGTAGCATACAATGTTTTAGGAAAAACAACTTATAGTTGTAGACACACACAATCTATTATACACGGCATGTAATTAAGTTTACAAAAACAGTTCTATGGGAAATAGTTGAAGACATGCACGCGATCCAACTCGTTTTCACTGATGTAAACTGTACGATTCTTGTCTACTGCTAGTCCAAACGGACCGTAAAACGCCACATTTTCAGAATACCCAAAAGACTTGATCAACTCTAGAAGTATACAGAACTGTCTCGTTGATATAAGAATCTGTACCTTGACTTTGATCAACATCTTCAGCCAAATTTCTACGTTTCACTTTGCCTTTTTTCTGAGGCCCACACCGCGAAAGCAGCGTTTTACTGGGAAGAACTGCAGCTGTGCTGAGAACGAGTCGATCGAGAAGAACGAGTCCGCAAGGTCAAAGGTTTATCGAGCCACGCCTTCAACACCAACCCCACCCAAAGCAAATACCGGAAGTGAAAGTTTGTTTTTTCCAGTGAAAATTCAGAGCTACGTATTTAAATACGCTCGTCGGATGCAAAATACGAAAACAGTGATACACAACCCTTGTTCCCGAATTCACCAACATATACCACATTCTGAGAATCAATAGCGATGCTAACTGGTTTGTTGGTGACAACTTTTTTCCCAAACTGCCTCAAGTAGACTCCATCGACTGTGAAGACCTCGATTCTGTGGTTGTCACAATCAGCTACATACACGTTGCTTTCAGCGTCAAAAGCTATGTCAAAAGGGCTATTTAACTCTCCATTGTTAGAACCCCTTGTACCGAAACTCTTGGAGAACGTGAGGTCGGAGTTCAGAACTTGAATTCTGTGGTTGCCACTGTCAGTAACATACACCTTCCCAGTGCCAGGATGAACTGCAATACCTCCAGGACACAGGAACTGAAGAGGTCCACTGCCCCATGTACCAACTGTTTTGAGGAACTTGCCAGTGGACGAAAACTGCTGAATACGATTGTTCTGGCTGTCGGCTACAAGAATGTTTCCTCCATTGTCTATTGCTATACCTTCAGGGCGATCAAACTGACCAGGATCTGAGCCATACTCACCAAATGACTTCCGATCTCCGTATGATTTCCCGCTGATGATTGTAACACGGAAACCGGTAGATTCAACGACAACTATCTCCCCTCCCTCCGTGACAGCTATATACACCAGATGGTCCCTCGAGATCTCCGATCAGTCCTGCGGGGCCAAGGTTGGGTGGAGTGGAGGCTGGTTTCTCTGCTGTTTCAATGGTCTCGGGAGCAGTGGAGGGTTTGGCAGCCATGGCTCTGGCAGTAGTGCAACAGACAAGATAGAGAGAGGATCTATGTAGAGTCAAGACAGCAACAGCCTCCAAGAAATAGGGGAAGCTGAGTTGCTGACAGGAAATGCCCCCTGACCTTGACCCCTATTAACCTCAGAGAGGTTAATGGATGCCCTCTACCTATTCATTATCAGAAATTTGAGTATTCCAAAATACGCTAATTTTGTGAGTGTCTATCGATGTATAATAATATACAGTAGATATGCATACAAAACAAGGGTATTGTGAATGTCTTTCACAACTTGAAACATGGATTAAAATTATGAAAAGCAAAATTACTGGTAGCCATGTCTCTACACATGGCACTGTGTCAGTGCTTCAAACTCTGCACTCTGACTTATTCACAGACATTACAATGAAAAAAAAGAAAAATGTTTCGCAATGCGTCTTGCCAGTGGTGTTCATAATAAAGTGGGTGTGGAGTCATCATGGTGATACAGGAAGTGGGTGTGGTGTCACCATGGTGATGCAGGGAGTGGGTGTGGTTTGTCATGAGCTGGCTCTCTCCAGAAGCATGGTGTAGCAGGTGTCACACACTCGTACAGGTTTTGAGGAGGAGGCAAGCTGGAGGCTGTTGTCTGAACAAGAGTTACAGAACACACCTCCACAGTGTCTGCAGTGGTGCTGTGGGTGTGTGTGGGTGTGTGTGTGGGTGGAGGAGTAGTGACTGAAGACATTGGAAGAAGTTGATATATATATACATTGTAGAGGAAAGACACTGACATAAGAAAACTGACATAATCAGTAGATCAACATATTATTCATTCTCCAGACATACATATAAATGTTAATGTACCCGCTTCTACCTACATACATACATGCAGAGAATCTTGAAGTTTGCAAAAACTGGTGTAAATTTGCAACCCTCGGCGGCGCGCATGCGCAGCGAGGGTTACAGTACTTGGTTTGTCTGTCCGGCCGTCGGTCCGTTACCACGTTTTCTGCCACCACGCGCGACAAACAGGTAAAATAGCGACACCAACGTGTTCAGAGCTACACTGGCTTCATTTTTAATTCGATTTTCGTAAAAGTGCCGCGTTCAGAAGTTATGGCATGAAAACCAAGCCAATATATGCAAATTAGCACAGGCTTACCCCGACCTGATCCGCTTTATCTGTGTACTCGGAGGCACAAGAAGTCACAACGAAGGGCGTGTATCGACTCCCGCATGCTATCTACTACTGTAGCTAGCCCGTGTCAGACTCTCTGCTAGCTACTCCAGCGAGTAAACGCATACTACAAGGCCCAGCCCATCAATTAGCGGTACCGACCGCGCATGCACAGTTCGCCGAGGGTTTGCACTTGCATTTACACTGTTCTCATTCAAGTAATGGTGGATGGTCCGATGGATAAGCACCCCGTCTCTTGATCGTGAGGTCCCTGGTTTGATCCCGGGTGTGTACGCCTTTTTTACAATGATGTAATAGGATGTGTTGGTATATATGGAACGTTTTCTCATCACCTCTCAAGAAATAGGGCTGGCCATTTTTTCCAACTTATGTGCATAACATGCTGTTCTTTTTGATGCATGGTCAAGACCATCAATTGTGGTGGTGCCACACTTGTGTATGGGTTCCACATTTCTATATAGTGTGCCGAGGGTTTGCACTTCAGTGCTTTTCATTCATCTAGTGATTGCATCTCTACAGGGAGAAAGCTAGTTCATACCTTTCTCCTGGCGACAGAGAAACCATTCTGGCAGAATTGGCATTCTGCGATGTCTTTGTCGTCCACCCAAACGCTGTCTTTCATCACTGCACTGACCTGTCTCATGTCTGACAGCTTCTCCTGGGCTCTGGATGAGAGGACAAACATACGTTACATCAACTGAATATTCTACTAGACTTTCAGAAGTACAGATTTGAACAAGAGGTGCAAATTGTCAGAGTTGAATTCTGATTTGCTTTTGAACTCTAAAAGCTTTCTGTCTCAAACATTACCCACTATAATAATATGGTGCTAGTCTAAATTTAACCCATCAAGGACCATGGATGTCAGTGGAGAGAGAGTGAGAGACTCACATGCTGAGCTGTTTGCCCATCTCAACGAGAGCTATCTCCTGCTCCGACACGGTCTCCTGGAGACACGCATACTTCTCCTGTAGCTCCGCGTGCTCCTGTGGGTGGGGGGCATTAATTAGAGAGCGTCTGATAAGAGCCCCTTTGCATGTGCTCAAGTGTAAATTAGGGGTCCGGTGGGTTGGCATGTTCTTTTCTAACCTAACCGATTGTGCTTCTTATCTAGAGGGCAGGTATTCTTCCAGGGTGCTCTTACTCACCGCTTTAAGAGCCCATTCAATATGTCCTTACTTTAAAACTCTTACACGATAAGAGCCCATTTAAAGACTCTTACTGCAAGAGACGTACCTTCTTGATGACTCTGGCTTTCTTGAGTTCGTTGGTGAGCTCCACGACCCTGTCTTTCTCTCTCTGGATCTCCATCTGCAGTGAGGCCCTCCACTGCTTCTCGATGGACAGATCCTGAGGAGACAAATCAGGGACAAATGAAGGGGTCTCACCCTCAAAGAGAAAGAAAGAACTACTAAATATGTAAGTGGGAAAACCAGGGAAGAGACATTCTGTGGAGTGGTGAAAAATCTGTGGTGGAACTGCATTTTGCAGACCTGTTCAGCGGAGCTGCGAGCCAGCTGGACCTCCTGCAGTTTCTGCCCCAACTCTGAGGACGTCTTCTCACTCTCCCTCAGAGATGACCTCACCTCTTGCAGGCTGAGAGAGAGATAAATCAGAAAATTGAGAGGAGAAGATTGAAGTGTACGAGGGGAAAATGACAGAGAAAAGTCGAAGAAAAGCTAATCTTTATTACATTCTGTCAATGCAATCACAACCAGTTTCACTGAAACTGTATATCTGCTAATATTTTTTCCTGCTAGCTTGCATCACACAGATGTATGCATTGAGAGTGTTATGTGTTAATTCACTGAGATGGATGAATATACAGACACCCATATTCAATGGTGGTGTGAACTAACTCTTTGTCGGCCTTCTTGAGGTTGGCGGTGGTCTGGGATAGCTTGTTCTCAATTCCTCTGATCTTGAGCGAGTCCCTCTGGTGGGTCTCCTGGGTTGTCTACCAACAGATCGAGAGCCACGTGAAACAATTTTATAATTCTCCCACAAAACAAACATCCAGCAGATCATTAATGAGGGACCATGATATGAATTGAATTCGTACTGAATTAGAGTTTCCCAGATTTACAGTACACCAACAGAACCGAACCAAATGTGTGTTCTAAAACACTCAGTGGTGTCAGAATGACATCAAAAGACCACACCCCCTGACCTTTAGCTGCGAGGTCATCTTTAGGTTGGCGGTCTTCACCTCCTCCAGCTGTCTGCGGAGACCCACTATTGTGTCCTGTTTCTCATGCACACTCTTCTCCAGTAGCAACATGGCCGTCTGCAGGGAGAGAGAGTTTAACCCCTGGCTCACTGATAGGTCTTTTAACCCCTGGCTCACAGTGGTGTTTTAACTCTTGGCTCACTGGGATAGTTTAACCCTTGGCACACTTGGGGTGGTTTAACTCCTAACTGACCAGCAAGGATATAATTTTAAACTCTTAAAATCACTGGATTGGTAACATTGTTCCTAACAAGGCTGATTGCACTGCACTCTCCAGCTACAGTCAAGGTATTCAGGATGGTTGGTTGGCCTGTCCTTTCCATAACTTGCTCGCTAAAAGTACGAAAAATTTAGCTACATTCAGGATTAAACCCCTGGCCCACCTCTTTCTCGGTGCGGGATGTCTTGAGTAGCTCCAGTTCCTGCTCCAGCTGGGACCTCCGCCTACTCTCAGTGTCCAGGTTCCTCTGAGTGGCCGAGTAGAGGTCGTTGAGCCCCGCCCGAGTCTGGACGTACGTCTCCAGCTCCGCCTTCTGGTCGTCCTGCAGATTCTGGGAGTTAGAGAGAGGATTTACGGTAAATCACGTGTATCAATAGCTCTTGCTCATTTACACGACTTTAGCCAAAGTAGAAAGCACCTCCTTCCCATTTACACTGTTTATTGAAGATTTAAATTTGCTACCATTTTCAGTTTAACACTAATTGAGAAGACGCCATCTCTTCCTGCATTCCCCCAGACCTCTTCTGAGTTATCTTAACTCCTCTTTCCTTTTTCTCTTTCTGTTTCACTCTCACTCCTTCCTCCTCACCTCCAGAGCTCTCCTGAGTTATCTACCCCTCTCTCCTTTTCTCTTTCTTTCTCTTTCACTCTCGCTCCTTCCTTCCCCCCTTCCTCCTCACCTCCAGAGCTCTCCTGAGTTCAGCAGACGATCTCTCGTTCATCTCTCTCAGATCATCTCTCTCCTGACGCAGTCTCCCCACTTCCTCCTCCTCTTCCCTCACCCTCTCCTCCAACTGGCCCACCGAACACTCCGCCACGCTCAGCCTCGTCTGCACCTTCTCCAGAGACAACCTGCCAGGTCATGTGACGTCATGTGACACACACCATTACGTCGTGATGATGTCACCGACTCTAGTTTCCTGTTGTGTTCCTCCAGGTAAGCCTTCTGATCCAGTAACTGAGCTAGTCCTGATTCACCTCCCTCTCTGAAGAGCACACATGCAAGCAGAAATATGATTTCCTTGTCTAATTGTGCAAAACAGAGGACAACATACACTTGCAACTTTGTCATTTGAGACAAAAGTTTTATCCAACATTAATGTGTATAAGTGCTGCAAGAGGTGGCACAGATAAAATGGATGATCAACTGGGAAGTGCTGCATAAAAAAGAATGTTGACTACTGCCTATTCTAAAACTAACTACAGACACGGACACAGCATACAGTATAGAAGGGGTTAAATGAAAGTGAAGCCATACATGGAGTAACTCACTCATCTCCGGCCCCTCTGCTGGCTGATCCTCCTGATATGCCACAGTTACCGTCTCTCAGGAAACCAGACAGATCCAGAGGTCCTACCTGCAGAACCATGGCAACTCAGATGGTTCAACTGTTTGACAATTGGGCGATATTGACTTGAACTGACAACATACCCACCAATCTGACTCACATAAAAAATATGGCATAAGATAATGTCATTACTGAAAGGTGTCTTAGCTTTGAAGATCTAACCACTAAAGATGATTTCATTGGCACAAATTTAATCCTGCCTGAGCATCTATCAACTATGTAAAGTTCTGCCCAGTGCAACTCACATTCAAACACAATTGCTCTCCACACTCCCCACACTCTCCACAGTCCCCACTCTCTCCAAACTCACAGATTTATCAAACTCCTCTGCAGAGAGAGTCATGTTGTAGTCGATGGCATTGAGTCCCATCAGTAGACCAGCCAACACTTGCCCTTCATCTCTCACCATTATTGAATCCTCCTCATACCACTCCCTGAGGTGGAACACTGGCCGATGATGGGCATATCTTAATAACCCTTCAGTGTTTAAAAACCGTGTAATTTTGCTATACGTCAATTGCACCATTAAGTAAATAGAGTGGTTTTTTTCCTGTATGCTGTGCTTTTTCTGTACTTTGTGCTACTGTTGACTACTGCAGTGCAGGAGAAACAATTGGCCAATAAAATGTTTTCTGACTATTGGTAGAAGATTCATGGCAAATGTGTGACCTCAGTTTGGTCTTGTTGTCTGTCATTGTTCTGAAATAGTCTCCCAACTTCTTCTGCATCACTCCAAACCTCAGCCACGCCCGGCCACGCCCCACTGCCGTCCTGGGGAATGATCAGTCACATGATCTCTGGGTAAGATCACATGATCTCTGAACAAGGGGACATGAATTTTCAGCAAAGCAAGAGAAAATGATCTCTTATCTAAGCCACATGATATCTAAGCAAGGTCACATGATCTCCGAGGTAGATCACATGATCACAGTAGCCATGGAGACTGACTTGATTCCAGGGAGACCACGAACGTTGGAGATGCTCTCAGAGAAATCAGTGGACATCTTCTCAAACCCCTCCACCACGGCCCAGAATGACTTCTTCTGACCCAGCATTGATCTCTTGGCTGTGAACAAAGGGGAATAGTACTAGAATGAATGCAGCACACGATAATTATGCAAGTGCGGTGCATTTAGATAGAGCATTTCCTAATGGGCCACACTGTCTCAGTACATCCAAACAAGTCACACAGATCAAACACTAGGTGGCTCGCTTCACTCACAAATTATAGACTGGTCATCAGGTTCATGTAAAAACTGAAAGTGTTGCCTTTCACTAAAGTAAACTATCAACAAGTCGTATTTGGGGCACTCACTCTCTCTCCCTCCCTCCCTCACTCACTCCTCAGTCCATGTTTCAGAGCTTGCTCCACGGCAACCAAACACTGCTGTAGCTGAGGGTGGGCATCGTTTAGAGTCTTCCCCTGCTGCATCGAAGTCTCCATTAACCCTTTGACCACTATATTCACGATTCCGAGAATGTTCGTTCTCTCTACTAGTCTGGAAACAACACATAGAGAATATAAATGAATTAGTGTGAGCTACCGAAGCACATGGATTATGGGTTCTGTTTAACTACAAGGTGTCCGGATTAATTGTCCGCAAACTATACACAAGTTGTCCGGATTGCGTGAACTATAAATGTCCGGAAAGAGTGTCCTAATCCAATCACTAGGAGCAGGGGCTCGTTTTTATGTACTGCAGACTGGTTAAATAGGGCGTCTCGGTGACATGATCTACTAGCTAGAGAGCCTGCAAACGGTGGGCAGCCATATTATTATGTCGGGAGGTAAGTAGTGGGCGGAGGTAATACCTGTGTTTGGCTTCTCTCTCTCCCTCCACTGATAGAATGATAGTGTCTCCATCTTCACGAGACGATGCCCACTCGCCCTCTCCACTCGCTGCCATTCCACAGCCAGCTCTTGAGCTGCGTCGTCTCACTATACACACCTACCTAAGTGTTACTGAGTGACGTCACGTCGCATCAGCTGAATTTCCAATGACGTTATTGCTGAATTAAGCGCACATCTTGTAAGCGCCTTCTTCCTCTGGGGGTGTAGTATAGTGTGTACGGGCTGTCCTCAAAGCCTGGGAGTATCGCTGGGGGTCCGCCATGAGTATGACACAGTCGTACAGCCAGCAACCGCTCACCTTTCTGGACGAGGACATCGGCCTTTACGGAGCCGACACTCAGGTACATCCATAGCTAGCTAGCTAGCTCTGTGAACAAAGCTGGGATCTGACAAACACACCCCTCTCTCTTGCACTCTGCCGCCATCCTCTCTACCTCCATCCTGCCTCTCTCCTCAGGGAGTAGGGGACTATGATCACTACGAGGACTTCACTCTGCCGAGTCAGAGTCAGGCCACGCAGTCAGTCCAGTCACAGGGACCTCCTGACACTGGTAAACACATTCCCTGGTTCCCTCGTTTTGTGGTTCCCTCGTTTTGTGGTTCCCTTGTTTTGTGGTTCCCTTGTTTTGTGGTTCCCTCGTTTTCTGGTTCCCTTGTTTTACATGTATAGTGGTTCATTTGGCTTTCTAGTCTGTTGATGGGATACGTTTACTCATGTGAACCATCCTGGAACTGTAATGGGCTCAGCAATTATTTATTGCCCTCAATTTCTGTGGTTTCTAGCGTCGATTCGTTGACTGTTGATGTTGATTGCAGATAAGCAGAGAGCAGCGAGTGAACTGATGGCTGGACTCAGTCTCCATGGCGACGATTCTGACGAGGAGGAGGAGCCTCAGGAACTGCCGGAGCATGCCTGCCGGTGAGAAGACCACACCCACTTTAGGGGGGAAGTTTGGAGCGATAGTGCGGTAAAGAACGAAGCATTCCTCCTCTCCCTCCCTCCAGATACTGTGGTATTCATGACTCAGCGGCCGTAGTGATGTGCAACTCCACCAAGAAATGGTTCTGTAATGGCCGTGGAAATACCTCGGGAAGGTTAGCTGACATCTTAAATCTCGTGTTACTGCGTCTGTGGTCCATGTTGCGATTGCATCTTTGGTGCTAAGACAGGTATATACAGTAAACGTGCTTTTGTTGCATTTTGAGGTGGGGTGGCAGTTTTATTCAGAGAGTATTCAGCAGTAGAGGGATTAAAAGTGGAGCATGCATACATGTAGTACAGTATGTAGTGGAGATTTGGGAAGAGGGCCAATTCCCCCTCATGCCCCCAATAGAAGAACTAGGTGACCCTTTTGAAAGATTTCCTCTGCCTCCCTCCCTCCAGCCACATAGTACAGCACCTGGTGAGGTCTCGCTGTAAGGAGGTCACACTCCACAGGGAAGGTCCTCTCGGGGAGACAGTTCTGGAGTGCTACAACTGCGCCTGTCGCAACGTCTTCCTCCTCGGTTTCATCTCCGCCAAGAGCGACTCCATGGTGATGTTGCTATGCCGACACCCCTGTGTACAGCAGAAGAATAGTCTCAAGGAGGAGTGGTGAGGAAAGGGTTAAATGAGCATGGTGTTGGAAAGAACAGTACATCCTTGATTACTGTATACGAGCTACAGAGCAAAGTGCGTCAGTACTTTTAGGTGTACTTGCATTATAGTTTTAACATGCGTGGAAAGAACCACTTTAAAAACTGCTTTGGCTGCTATAAATGTTTGTAAATGGGAAGTTAGAAATGTCAGCGATGGTGAGTGGTCTGTTGTGTCTCCTAGGAACCCGTCGTCATGGATGCCGGTGATCCAGGACAGGAGTTTCCTCAACTGGTTGGTGAAGCAGCCGTCCGACAAGGAGCAGGCCAGGGCCAGGCAGATCTCTGCGGCCACCATCAACAAACTAGAGGACCTCTGGAGGGTGAGAGGAGGGGGCGGGGCTCCAATTAGATGATGTCACTTCCTGTACAAAGGTGTATTGTGCTCAGACCCAAGCTAATAAACAGTTATTAAGTTATGACAAACCATTTTAATTTAGCGTCAATCAGAAATGGAGAAACGTTTCGTGGTGACAATTTTAGTTTGACTGACTCGCGTTCATACCAAAAAGCCTGTTTCTGATTTGATGTCTGAAATGTTGAGACAAGATATTTCTCACAAGGTAGTCAGGAGACGGTGAACTTTGTACTTACTATACTATTGTATCTACATTTCTACAGACGGTTCCAGATGGGAACGCTGGCTGACCTGGAGAAGCCAGGGATGGACGAGGAGCCTGAACACGTCAGCTTACGGTTTGTGTTTGTGTTTTATCTCTGTAGATGTCAAGTGAAGCCCCAGCAGCCCCCCTCCCACTTCTTTCTCTTCCTTCTTTCTATATAGTATGTAAGTAAGTAAAGGGTGAGCTGTTATTTTACATGTCCAGGCTGTGTGAGTTTATCACGCATCCTATCGTACAAGAAAATTAGCTACATATCAACTTGGCCAGTAAAGCACATTTGTGGCGAGTGAATGCCCACGAGTGCAAACTCTCAGAGAATCTACTCTTTGGTAATAGTGCCATTATGTCTACCACAGACCACTAGGTACAGGTTTATGTTGTTAATCCTATGAACACACCTTTAACACTTATGATTTACTTGATGCAATAACCCAGTCCCTGAATTCCCCTCCTCTGCAGCTACGAGGATGCCTACCGATACCAGCACATATTTGGGCCTCTGGTGAAGCTGGAGGCAGACTACGACAAGAATCTGAAAGAGAGCCAGACTCAAGAGAACATTGAGGTCCGCTGGGACATGACACTCAGCAAAAAGAGAGTCGCCTACTTCAAGTTTCCTCGTCAAGACGGAGGTTCGTTGCTTGTTCTCTTCTTCCGCTCTGTTTTCTCGAGACTCTCTTTTCCTCTATAAGACTACCTCGTCTTCCTCTGTCAATCCTCTCCTTCTCCCTTGGAAGATGGGCGTTTGTGTTACTGCTTCTCTTACTCCTCAGTCTCAGTCCTTTGTTTAAAAAGTGCTACATGTAAAACGCAAATGGTTAAGTCTCATTCAGTAAACAAAACCCTTTAATTAAGGTGTATTAACTTTAGTCTCACGAAACACAAAGTTCCATCCACTTCACCAAGTTGGCTCTCTCTCTCTCTCTCTCTCTCTCTCTCTCTGTCAGACATGAGGCTGATGCCAGGAGACGAGCTGCAACTGAGGCTGGTCGTCAACGGACGAGAGGAGTGGAAAGCAATGGGCCATGTCACCAAGATGCCCAGTGGTACATGTTATCAATGTCTCCACATCTCTTGTGTTATCACTCTCCCTATTCCTTATATTGTCGCGAAATATTTCAGGAGCATTCTGTACCGCAACAGAATAGTTACTACAATTCTTTTTACTGCCCACCTCCCCACAAAACCTTGTCTCGTGGTTTCCATAGCAACACAAACATCACCGTGGCAACTCACCATTCCTCCTAAGTTTAGGACACAAAATATGTTGTACAGGGAAGCAACTGCACCCCTTGTCCCAGTTTCCATAGCAACCAAACATCCCCATGGCAACCCTATCTCTCCCTTCAGTTCACGACGAGGAGGTAAAACTGGAGATGCGGTCCACTGCTCCAGTCCCTGACACCAGACACAACTACAGTGTCAACTTTGTCTGGAAGAGTACCTCGTTTGACCGCATGCAGAATGCCATGAAGATGTTTGCTGTGAGTTGTGCTCAGTTCTCTCTCTGCCTCTCTTTTCATTTCACTGTACATGTTCAAAATGTTGCTGCAAAGTACGAGAACCCAATTTCATACTTTGTTTAAGATGCTTGCTGTTGTGTATAGCTCCGTGAGTGTGAGACATAAACTGTCCTACGAATGTGGTGTCACTGTATCTTGATAACCTAGTGTATGAAAACTCCATACATTACTGTGGTGTGGGTATGTTGAATGTGCAGGTGAATGAGAACGCAGTGTCGCTCTACCTGTACCACAAGTTACTAGGTCATGACATTGAGGACCAGGTCAATGAGAGTGTCTCCATTCCTAAACAGTGAGTCGGCTCTCTTGCCCTCCCTCAGTCTGTCTCAGTTCTCTTGCCCTCCCTCAGTCTGTCTCAGTTCTCTTGCCCTCCCTCAGTCTGTCGTTCTTGCCCTCCCTCAGTCTGTCTCAGTTCTCTTGCCCTCCCTCAGTCTGTCTCAGTTCTCTTGCCCTCCCTCAGTCTGTCTCAGTTCTCTTGCCCTCCCTCAGTCTGTCTCAGTTCTCTTGCCCTCCCTCAGTCTGTCTCAGTTCTCTTGCCCTCCCTCAGTCTGTCTCAGTTCTCTTGCCCTCCCTCAGTCTGTCTCAGTTCTCTTGCCCTCCCTCAGTCTGTCTCAGTTCTCTTGCCCTCCCTCAGTCTGTCTCAGCTCTCTTGCCCCCCTCAGTCGTCCAGCTCTCTGCCCTCCCTCAGTCTGTCTCAGCTCTCTTGCCCTCCCTCAGTCTGTCTCAGCTCTCTTGCCCTCCCTCAGTCTGTCTCAGCTCTCTTGCCCTCCCTCAGTCTGTCTCAGCTCTCTTGCCCTCCCTCAGTCTGTCTCAGCTCTCTTGCCCTCCCTCAGTCTGTCTCAGCTCTCTTGCCCTCCCTCAGTCTGTCTCAGTTCTCTTGCCCTCCCTCAGTCTGTCTCAGTTCTCTTGCCCTCCCTCAGTCTGTCTCAGTTCTCTTGCCCTCCCTCAGTCTGTCTCAGTTCTCTTGCCCTCCCTCAGTCTGTCTCAGTTCTCTTGCCCTCCCTCAGTCTGTCTATATACTACCTTTCTCGTTTCGTGCCTTCGAGGTGTCTTCCTGGCCTAACCGTACCTAATTTTTACATGTACATCGTATGAGCCGTTTTGATTGCATATGTCCAATTACTGTATACGTATACTGCATGTATCTATATACACATGCGAATTATACTGCATGGACATGCGTTGAAAGTGTGAATCTTTGCATTAAACATTTTCTCTCCTTTCCTCCAGTTTGTCAGCCCCCAACCTACCAAAGTTGAACAGCTCGCAGCTGTCAGCCATCAAGACCGTTCTCCAGCGACCGCTGGGACTCATCCAAGGTCCTCCTGGTACTGGGAAGACTGTCACCTCTGCCTCACTCGTCTACCATCTGGCAAAGATGTACTCTACCATGTGAGTTTGGGGGGGAGGGAGGGAGAGGGAGGGAGGGTTGATTGCACTGCACTCTCCAGCTATAGTCAATGTATTCAGGATAGTTGGTGTTGGTACAATTTCTACGTGTTTTATAAGAGTATAGGCCACCCTATCTACTCTTCAGCTATAGTCAAGGTATTCAGTTTTTCAACCAACAAGCCATCCATACATGTCACTATGCACTTGGCTACAGTATGACGTTCGTTGCAAACTAGGCAAATACTGTTTTGGTAACGAGATTACAGTGGCTCCCCCCACTCTGCTGCAGGAACCAGCAGATACTGGTGTGTGCCCCTAGCAACACTGCCGTGGATCAGCTCACTGAGAAGATTCACAAGACTGGGATCAAGGTATGTTGTATACATCTATTACATACGTATTTGTTTTGCCACAGTCTATGGGGAAAATTTACATACAAAATGGTAGGGGGTAAAATTTTCACAACCAACCATGAATTTCTCCAAGGAAATCGTAACTCAAAAAGTGGACGTACGTCAAGTAAATAGTTTCATGTTGAATGTGATCGCAGATTTTATTCTGTGAACTTTGTTTTCGTTTGATTTGCGTGATTTGCATCCAGGGAGGTCTTTTTCTCTTCTCAATGTCACGCGACCGTGTTGTACCTGCAGGTGGTGCGGCTGAGTGCCAAGTCCCGGGAAGCCATAGAGAGCAGTGTCTCATTCCTGGCCCTCCACAACCAGGTGGCTCATTCCGGGTACGTCGTGGAACACTGACTCCTCATCTCTCTCCTTCCCTTGATTTGTCTCTTGGTCTCTGAACTTTTCCTCTCTTTTCTTTTGCACTTTACAACTACACATACGTACAGTGGAACTTGTAATGACACCTCTGAAAATGAGGACTTGTCTCTTTAACAGTTCTTGTATGCAGTTCAAATACGGACACCTGATCAATAAAAATTTGGACACCTAATTTTGTTGTGTTGGAGGAGTCATTAAAGATGCAGTTTGTGGGTTAATAAGGAGTCTCTCCCTCTCTCTCTCCCTCTCCCTGCAGGACGGGCTACACAGAGCTGCACAAACTGCAGCAGCTAAAGGCCGAGGCTGGGGAGCTATCAGCTGCTGACGAGAAGAGAAATAGAACTCTGAAGAGACAGTGTGAGAGAGAATTACTGCTGGTTAGTTGGGCCTCTCTTTAACCCTCTCCACACTGTTTACCTCTGCTTTTTAACCCTCTCCACACTGTTTACCTCTGCTTTTTAACCCTCTCCACACTGTTTATCTCTCCTTTTTAACCCTCTCCACACTGTTTACCTCTGCTTTTTAACCCTCTCCACACTGTGCTTTACTTCCTCTTTCCACATTTATAAACTCTAACTCTTTTGCTCTTTTTTTACTTTAACCCTTTCCATTCTGCCTGATCTCAGAATGCTGATGTCATATGCTGTACGTGTGTCGGAGCAGGTGATCCGCGTCTTGCCAAATTCATCTTCAAGGCCGTCCTGATTGACGAGTCAACTCAGGTATGATGTCATCATTACATCATACATATTAATTAGTTGTGGGTGTGGTCTCTGTACAGGCGACAGAGCCGGAGTGTATGGTGCCGATAGTCCTGGGAGCAAAACAGGTTATTCTGGTTGGAGACCACTGCCAGCTGGGGCCTGTCATCATGTGCAAGAAGGCAGCCAAGTGAGGACTCTCTCTTTCTCTGTCCCTATTCCTATCTCACCTTCACTCCCTACCTTCCCTGTCCAGTGCTGGACTATCCCAAAGCCTGTTTGAGCGACTGGTAAAACTGGGTGTGAAGCCGATAAGACTCATCGTCCAGTACAGAATGCACCCATCTCTCTCAGTGTTTCCCTCCAACACATTCTACGACGGAACTCTGCAGAATGCCGTCTCTGCACACGAGAGAACCATGCGTGAGTATCACATGACATCACATGAGAGTCACATGACCAGAGCATTCCTAGCATTCTTTCTTAAAGCATGCATGAGTGAAAATACATGTAGCTGTATGTAGTATGTAATTGGTAACAGTACACTATCATCTGTGTGACATTATAAGTGTATGACATCACATGATGGTCACGTGACTGCCACGCCCCCTCCAGCTGGAATGGAGTTTCCGTGGGTGAAGCCGGACTCTCCGATGTTCTTCTGGTGTTCCCAGGGACAGGAGGAGATCAGCTCCAGTGGCACCTCTTACCTCAACAGGTTTGTACCCGTGACATGCAATAATGGAATACTGCATACCTTTAAAATAAGATGTTGACTTTCATAAGAGATATTTTTGCTCTAATATACTGATATCTTGGCTCTAATGTTCACGCTGATGGCAGGAGTGAGGCGGTGAATGTTGAGAAGGTGGTGACACGACTGATGAAGAGTGGAATCAAACCTCACCAGATGGGAATCATCACCCCCTACGAGGGTCAAAGGGCATACGTCGTCCAGTACATGCAGTTCAACGGAACCATGTCTCAGAGACTGTATATGGTAGGTTAGGGGTCATGTGACTGTCACATGATCTGAGACTGTATATATATATGGTAGGTTACGGGTCATGTGACTGTCACATGATCTGAGAATGTATGTACGTAGGTTACGGGTCATGTGACTGTCACATGATCTGAGATTAGCGTGCACGTCCTTTGTAATACAAGGTCTAAAGAAACCATTGTTGAGTTTTTATCCTGATCTCAATGTATATGTGTGAGTTGATCATGTGACTGGTCATGTGATCTCTATTACAGGAGATAGAGGTGGCGAGTGTGGATGCATTCCAGGGACGAGAGAAAGATTTCATCATCCTCTCGTGTGTGAGAGCCAACGAACACCAGGGGATCGGGTTTCTAAATGATGCCCGCCGTCTGAATGTTGCCCTGACGAGGGCAAAGTACGGAGTTGTCATCATTGGGAATGCTAAAGTTCTAACCAAGGTTTGTGAGCAACGTCGAAACTGTTCCGTTATTATAGCGGGAAATTTTCACAAACAGTAAGTGTTCCAGTTGTGCCAAGTACACTATAGTACAGTGATGGGTTGGGGTGTGTCTGTAGTCTGTACTGTTAACATGTCCACTGCTATTGTTTCCATGAACCATGATGCAAGCTTACGTAACTTTCTTAAGTACCATTTGTGTTTGTGATCTTCTCTAGCACCCTCTATGGAACAGCCTCATCAGAGACTATCAGGAGAGAGGTACAATACATGTACACTGTATTCTTTATGCACTTGTTGTCCGTGTGAGACATACTGTACAATGACCGCAGACTGGAGTATAGTATGGTGTATTATCACTCTATGTGTACATACTGTTGTATATGTATATTGGCTGCAGACCTGGAGTATATAAGGTGTATTACCACTCTAGTGTACATATGTTGTATATGTATATTGGCTGCAGCTGTGAGTATAGTATGGTGTATTACACTCATGTGTACATACTGTGTATATGTATATTGGCTGCAGACCTGTGAGTATGTATGGTGTATTATCACCTTATGTGTACATACTGTTGTATATGTATATTGGCTGCAGACCTGTGAGTATAGTATGGTGTATTATCACTCTATGTGTACATACTGTTGTATATGTATATTGGCTGCAGACCTGTGAGTATAGTATGGTGTATTACCACTCTATGTGTACATACTGTTGTATATGTATATTGGCTGCAGACCTGTGAGTATAGTATGGTGTATTACCACTCTATGTGTACATACTGTTGTATATGTATATTGGCTGCAGACCTGTGAGTATAGTATGGTGTATTACCACTCTATGTGTACATACTGTTGTATATGTATATTGGCTGCAGACCTGTGAGTATAGTAAGGTGTATTACCACTCTATGTGTACATACTGTTGTATATGTATATTGGCTGCAGACCTGTGAGTATAGTATGGTGTATTACCACTCTATGTGTACATACTGTTGTATATGTATATTGGCTGCAGACCTGTGAGTATAGTATGGTGTATTATCACTCTATGTGTACATACTGTTGTATATGTATATTGGCTGCAGACCTGTGAGTATAGTATGGTGTATTACCACTCTATGTGTACATACTGTTGTATATGTATATTGGCTGCAGACCTGTGAGTATAGTATGGTGTATTATCACTCTATGTGTACATACTGTTGTATATGTATATTGGCTGCAGATCTGTTGATGGAAGGGGCAAATCTGACTGCTCTTCGTAAGAATGAGATGCATCTTCCAAAGCCCAGCAAACTGGCTCCTCGCAGGAACATGGTATATACACGTGTACACTGTATATACATTAGTAAAGCCCTGTTGTCATCTTCCTCTTCCTCCACTAGGGACTGGTGGTGTCTGGAGGCCCTGCCCACTTCAGGCCTCGAGACCCTCCTCCACACACTGTCTATGACCACTCCATGAGAGACAGGCACTGTTAGTTTCTCTCTCCTCTAAAAAATGAAGTGGGATTCTCAAGTATGATTTGTAATTCTCCAGCAGTTACTTATTTTCCCTCTCCCACCCTCTCCCTCTCCCTCCCTCTCCCACCCTCAGTCCCGATGATGCAGGATGACTATTATCGCTCTCACGATCACCTTGGTTACATCGGAGGCAGCAGACACGCGGCTGCGGCTGCTCACAGCATGTTTGTCCCCCCAGCCATGTTCAACATGCCCCTCCCTCCCCAGCAACACTATGACAACCAGGTGCTAATACTTTATTGTACTTTGACGAAGAAATGTTTGTGGAACTTTTGAGATTACATCAACATTAGGAAAGTTTTAGTGCACAATTTTGCCCAATGTGCAAATTTTAGTCCATGAATCAGAGAAGGTTTCTACTACAGCTATATAGTATGTATGTACATGGTCTGCTGGTAGAAGTCAGATGAGTCTGTCTTCTGAAAGTTGCTCTCAGACCTTTTTTTTGGTATTTCCCCCAAATTCCAGTTTGAGTGCTACAGTTTGCATTAAGTTACATTTTGTAATTTCTGAGTATATACCTAACTTTAATTTCAATTGTAAAGGGATGGGTCTGCAATTCACTTGTTATTCTTATATCTCTGTCTCCCAGCCTCCACCACCGGCCCAGAGCAAGTCAGCAGCAGGAGGAGGAGGAGGAGGAGGGGGGATATCACATGCTCTCATCAACAGCCAGGCCAGCCAGGATCCCAGTGGCTCACAGCCTCTCACTCAACCTCTCACCCAGCCAACTCTGTCCATGACCCAGCCGACACAGCCACTCTCCCAGAGTGAACTATCTCAGGTCAGCAGAAACGTCTGTGGTTTTAGTTAGTCAGGGTTCTCTCTACATTGAGGAATGTGGGGAAATTCCGATTCTCTCAGCCAAAGTTGTTAGTTTGCCATGGTACCGTATCGCTGGAAACTTTAACGGTATTAGCTGTGTGAAACATTTTTAGTTTTATTTCTTCGCAAAAATTGTAACACAGGGAAAAATGTTTGTAGGCTAGTAAATTTTTTTTTTCTTGCACTACAATCTGGTAAAGTTTCTCCACAAATTTGCTACTGAAATGCACTTTTTTTCTCAGTCACAAACTCAGCAAGGTATCCTGCTACATACTAAATTCTCATCTCTGCTGCTGCAGGAGATGATGGATGACTTCAAGTCTCAAGATGGGGCACTATCTCAGGACCTACCTTACTCCATAGACAAGAGACCAATGCTGGACTATGGCCACCCTCTCTACTACTGAGGTACGTTCGTTTCCCATTAGCTCTAGTTTTCAGTCTGCCAAGTTGTCTGGTATTTGTAGAGAGGCCCCTATGTACATGAACTTTTCACTTGTGTTTCCTCACCAATATATATACATTCTGGTTTATGTGTATGCAGCTGCTAAGTCTCCTGTCCCTGCATCAGTACAGTGTAACCTGCTGACCTACAAGCATACATTTAGTAGACCCTCCATTGGGGAGCAATGTTGTGCCCCTTCACAAGTATTATTGTGTATCTCAACAGCTGGGAAAGAGGGGCCAGTGTTGGGGGCTTCAATTCCACAGCATGGATTGCCGTGGAAACAGTTCAAGAATGTGGAGCCAGAAATGAACCTGAAAATTGAGAAAATGCTGTAGTGTAGTACTGTTATGTGTTGCTGAAAGATTATAACCTCATGCGCAAGTGTTTATAAGCGCGCATATTTTCTGCATGCGCTTAGTTGTGACGGTAGCACTAGCTAGAGAACATGAAGAGACGGCGAGCGTCCCAGACGGTGTGCGACTCTATGCTGTGTTCCCTGATAGTCCTCGGTTCCCTGGCCTTCTCCCTCACCTACTACCGCAACGACCTGCGGCAGCTGCTGCGTATGTTCTTCCTGACGGCCGTTCTAATTGGAGCCCTCCTCGCTCTCCGCCACTCGCTGGGCCGCGCGAGGCGGCGACTGGGCAAGTGGCTGAGTCGAGCGAAGGAGGAAAGCAAGGAGACTGTGGTGGGTAAGCCCCGCAATTACTCGCGAGTTTCACGAGTGTTTTGACCTAACCCTAGAAGAGAGACCTGATCTTGACAGAGCAAGAGAGGAGGCACTGGCCAGAGCTCAGAGACTGCACGATGAGAAGGTTGGTGTCTCCCTCTCTCTCAGTATGCTCTTCTCGTACTGTTCCTCAGGCAATGAACATTACTACTTAATTTTGTAGGCTGGTTGCAAACCTTTTCAGTCAGAGACTAGCTATGAACATGTTCTTTGTACTATTACTATCATGTTGACGCCATTACTTGCATCTTCCCCCTCTCTCTCTCTCTCTCTCTCTCTCTCTCTCTCCGTCCCCTTCTTTCTGTAATATTATATATATGTATTATTTCTCTGTCGTCAAACAGGCTGAAGACTATGAGTCCAGAGTGGCAGGACCGAGGAGAGTGAGAAAGTTTGAGAAGAACGAGAGAAAGAGTATATATTTCCGAGGATTTGGAGCACATGAAGGAAGAACTCTGGGCGAGGCTTCTGGTGGTGCAGGAGCTGGGTCATGTGACCAGGGAGCTGAGTCACGTGAGGGTCATGTGACCGATGATGATGTCATAGGTGAAGGAGACCGATCAGGGAGGAAGGTGTGGCTGGCAGTACAGCTGCCCACCAGGACACTCCGCAGTCAGTTCCACATCTCTCAGACCATGAAGGTGAGTCCCGCATACAATCTGGGACATCCCACTTTAATCCAGGACTAGTACTGTGCTCAGTCAGACCCCAGGAGAGAGAAAAGTGCCTTGTGACAATCGAGCAATTACTTGGTTATGCTATATTATTAGCTGTCTTGTTCTTTGGTATCACAAGAAAACGTGTGGTTATGTAATACATAGTAATCTGATTTAGCACAACCTAAAGGACAATGTCTTACTAGGACATCCCATATTAATTCAGGATGTCCAGTTAGTGGATGGAACTCTCTCTCTCATTAGGTGGTGTACAGTTGGCTGGAGGAGGAGGGAGAGGTCTTACCTGGTCAGGTCCTCATCACCCCTCACCCTCGTCAGCTCCTTGACGACAGGGGTCGCACCCTGGAGGATTATGGCATCACCATGGATACCAAGCTCATTCTGGAAGAACTAGATGACTAATTTCTGATCATCTCAATCAATCATAATTAGCTGTTGTTCACATTATGGGCTGAATTGGGGAGAAATCCTTGTCTCTGGGAGTCGAATGCTGTATGCATCATTAGCGCGATTGAGTGAACATATTATCCAGAGTGAAAAAGCTGTTTTTTCTCCTGTTTTTTCTCTTGGACGTAAAATAATAGTGAACCACATAAGAGAAATTACAAGATATGAAGATTATTAATAAGGGTAAAACTGCACACATAGACAAAGCCATCCTCATCAACAGTAACTCCAGCTGGACAAGGGATGACATCACTACTGACATGACCAACACACTCACCACTGGGTTTGAATACATACACACCATTACGCAAATCACTAGCAATGATATGACCACATCTGGTATCAAATACTATTCCCCTAAACTCAGAGAACTTCAGTGAAAGAGGGTGATAGATTGAGGTGGCGGATGAAGACTCCATTTGGAGCACACCTGTACACACTAATCTTCCTTTCACCAGCCACATACAGACCTTCAGGACCTTGAGCTATGTCTTTAGGATAAGGACACTCCTTTGTTATGATAGTTCCCACAACATTGCAGTCCATGTCAAATATCTTCACCAACTGGCTGGCAAGGTCCACAACATAGAGTTGATTGTCAATGATCTTGACAGAGAATGGCTTCTTTAGCTCACCACCAACTGTTTTCAGGAGTTCACCATTTGAACTGAGTTTGAAAAGGCACTCAGCATCAGTGTCAGTGACATAGACAGCTCCATCTGAAGCAACTGCTACTCCACGAACATCTTTGAATTGGTCACACTCAATGGTCTGTACTTTCTCTCCATTTCTGGTCATAAAAGTTACCCTCTCACAACCACTCTCCCTCTCAGTAACTACCAGTTGCTGTTTGTTGTTCACGGCTACTCCCCATGGCCACCACAAGCTCACTATGCTACGAACTTGTCCTCGTCCTAGTTGAGAGGGAGGTAATTTGACAAAGACTCGGAAGGGGCTTCCCCCAATCTCTTTGCCCTTCACTTTCACTATGAGATCATGTCGACCTCTGACCTGAGGAGTGACGGAGATGCTGAAGATCCCTACACCATTCCCGACCACCTCTCCCTCTAGTGATGATGATGGATCCGCCACACATTTCAGACTGGCAGAGACGTCTTCCAGGGAGGCTGTATGTGCAAAGAGCTTTACTTCAACTGGGGAACCCAAGTCAAAGGTGCCAGGGTTCTGAACGAGTGCTGGAGTTGGTTGAAACAATACCGAGCCAAGATCATCAGGAATGACGTGAGGAGAGGGAAGTTCGCAAGCAATGTCAGCGATGGCTGATGGCTCCAGGGACAGCTGTCGATGACGTTTCTCTTCCTCCTCCATCTTGGTCGCCAGTTGTGTCCGGATGCTCATGAGGTCCTGGTCGCTCGTGCCCTCCACGTTCCTCTCCACAACCTCCACCAGAAGTTGGACCTCCCCCTGTGCCACCTGCAGCACCCTCTTCTGAGCCGCCAGAGCTTCCTTCTTCTCCTGGGCCAGTGAGCCGGCTTTCTTCACCAGCTCTGCCTTCCTCTGGTCCAGAACAGCCTTCAGCTTGTCAAACGACTGCTGGATGGACCTGCACACCTCCTCCTTCTGCCTCTCCACCTTAGCCTCTTCAGAGACCAGGGTCTTCTCAGCACCCGCCATGTCGGCCGCCACCTTCTGGAGTGGAGCCAGCGAGTGGCGCAGTGTCTTCCTGCTCTCGGGGGCACACTTGGTCAGAAACTCAAACTTGTGTCCGCTGTGGTCGATGATGGTGCAGTCTCGACAGATGAGGCGGTCGCAGTCGAAGCAAAAGAGCTTCTTCGGCTCGCCGTGGTCTGCGCATGCGACAGGTGGCGCTTCTTTCAAAGGAATGCTCTTTGCGCCACCTTTTTTCAGATCTTCCAGACTAGCGACGACGTGACCGGCGAAAACCTTCATTTTCTGGTGGGAACGCGCGCAATCGCCGCAAATGAACTCGGTACACTGTCGACAGAAGGCGACGGACTTTGCCGCCGAGCACTGCTCGCAAAACGCCTCCACTTTCCCCTCCACCTTCGCCATCTTCCCGTACACGTCTTTCATTCTCTCCACGAAGAAGGCGGGCTCGAGCGCGGCCACGCCGCCGGGAGGGAGACTCGTCTCCTTGCGGCACTCGGGGCAGTGTAACGGCCTACCTCGACAGGCGGCCGCCATCTTCTCGATGCACGTCGAGCAGTAGTAGTGGCTGCAGGGAAGCAACTTGGCCTGCTGGTAGACTTCCTGGCACACGGCGCACGTGATCTCTCTCTCCAGCTCCTCCAGTGGCTTGTCTCTGGGATCTGGGCCTTCCGCCATGACGACTTTTTCACAATGCTGCTCGGAGTATAGTTACGCCCCTTTTTCTACTATGCGCATGCGCATAGATATTCACCTATATACGACGACGTCATGAAAGTTTGTGTGTTGCTGAAACGTTCTGATTGAAGAGGTCAACTGTATTTCTCAGAGATTTGATATCTTCAGGGCCTACTCTGCAGCAACCCCCTGAAATAGAAATGATCATAGAATGGGTATATTGGGAGTGGCATGGTGTATACCAATGTATGTTGCTCCGAGTTCCATCCATTTCCCAGCCTCACAAGAGAGATCTCTAGTCTCCCCAGTCCAGCAGCTGTGTGATGGAGAGAAACACAATGAATGATTACTCAGATCAAGAAGGTTAAATGATGTTGCATCAATGTATATGTAGCAGTTGAGCTAACAACAGAATCAGAGATCTCAGAAGAAGTAAAAAGACAACCAGTACAGAACTTAGTGCTTTCTAACTTGTGTGCATTATGTGAAGCTTTAAATCCATTAACTCATGATTATTAGTTACTTATCATACTGTACATTAGGATGAACTGACAAGAGAAAATAAGATAGACCATAACATGGTGTTGCCTAGGTGAAGTATTAAACATTCACCATCAGAACTTACACTAGTAACCAACACCCTTATAGAATCCAAGTGGAGTTTAATTAAAGGGAATGTGGCAATATAAATGTTACTAAAAACAACAGGGACACGGTGAAAGAATGCTTGCTTTTAGTAACCTTTAGCCCCTACAAGAGTAGCACACCAGGCAACAATATAGGGATTGTGTGATGGGGTTGGGGGTGTCAGCCTACTCAAATCTGTTCATTAACCATGCTTCATGTATCCCATCCCTATCTTGTCTCCCTTTCTTTTTATACCATCCCTATATGCCTCTTTTTTTAAATTCGCAGGATTTTTAATTTACTTGTAATATTATAATACTGGTGGGTGGTGTCCCAGTGTTCTCCACTGTTGGGGTAGACTACAAACCCAGTCTCTGGACCATCTCCACAACTCTTCAGTAGAGGCTGCAGTCAGTCACAGTGTATAATACAAGGGCAGGAGAATGTCATTGCCAGCATATATACTAGCTAACAAGGGATAGTTTTTACGAAGCACAGTAGAATCATGAGGGGTCAGAGCCAATCACAAGTGTTGTGTGTGTTGAGATATGGTAACCAATCCAAAAGCTTTCTGGTGATTTCTGGTGAAATCTGCTACTGACAAGTTTTCTTGCTCAAAAGATTCGCTATGTAGAGTGCCTTATCATACTGTTCTACAACACACTCAGTAAAGGTTAAACAAAACTGCATTTCAAAGCCACAAGGTCATAGCTCCATACCTGGATGTAGTTTGGGTCAGAACAGTTGACACCTACAGCCACAACCTGCTGGTTACCATCTCTCTTCCCTCTCTCTCTGGCCACACCCATCACTGTCTTCACTGCCTCTCGGAACTCCTCCCCGTGACACGTCTCCGTTCCATTCTGAGATGAGGAGAATGTGGTATGGAATGGGGAATAAAAAAATCCATGAACTTTAAGTTATTGTTTTCCGTATTGTGAGTTGATGTGGATCTTGTCACAAATCCAAGGTATCTATGTACTTGTAATATGATGGTTCAATGGACTAAATTTGTGAATAGCTTGAGTTGTAGTAATTAACGAGGAGGGACTTACCCTACAAGAGAAGCTAATCCATGCCATAGTGTCAGTAAACTCAGTAGTCAGGAGATGGACGAGGGCCAGAGCCTCAGTGAGTGCAGGTAGTGTCTCACAGGCAACCAGATCCACTCCACACTCCACCAGAGTCCTCAGGCGAGGTCTGTGCCACACCTCCAACTCCTAGGGGTGTGGTTTGGGGCGGGGTCACGTGACAAACACACCACCCCCACCAAACCTCTTGGAAAGAAGGTAATGTGTATTTGACATCATGTTGAGGTGATTACTTGCGTCTTCCCTCTCTCTCTCTTTTTCCGTCCCCTTATTTTCTATAATAATTTATTATTTCTCTGTCGTCAAACAGGCTGAAGACTATGAGTCCAGAGTGGCAGGACCGAGGAGAGTGAGAAAGTTGGAGAAGAACGAGAGAAAGAGTATATATTTCCGAGGGTTTGGAGCACACGAAGGAAGAACTCTGGGCGAGGCTTCTGGTGGTGCAGGAGCTGGGTCATGTGACCAGGGAGCTGAATCACGTGAGGGTCATGTGACCGATGATGATGTCATAGGTGAAGGAGACCGATCGGGGAGGAAGGTGTGGCTGGCAGTACAGCTGGCCACCAGGACACTCCGCAGTCAGTTCCACATCTCTCAGACCATGAAGGTGAGTCCCGGATCCAATCTGGGACATCCCACTTTAATCCAGGACTAGTACTGTGCCCCGGGAGAGAGATAAAAGTGCCTTGTGACAATCGAGCACGCTAAATTACCTGTCTTGTTCTTTGGTACGCTAACTGTCACGGTGTGGTTATGTAATACATAGTAATCACAAAACAACTGACAACCTATAGGGCAATGTCTTACTAAGACATCCCATATTAATTCAGGATGTCCAATTAGTGGATGGGACTCTCTCATTAGGTGGTGTACAGTTGGCTGGAGGAAGAGGGAGAGGTCTTACCTGGTCAGGTCCTCATCACCCCTCACCCTCGTCAGCTCCTTGACGACAGGGGTCGCACCCTGGCGGATTATGGCATTACCATGGATACCAAGCTCATTCTGGAAGAACTAGATGACTAATTTCTGATCATCACAATCAATCATAATTAGCTGTTGTTCACATTATGGGCTGAATTTGGGGAGATATCCTTGTCTCTGGGAGTCAAATGCTACATCATTTGCGCAACAGAGTGAATATATGCGGAGTGATAGAAGCTGTTTTTTCTTGGACGTAAAATAATAGTCAACCACATAAGAGAAATTACAAATACAAACTTTACTACCACGAAGGGTACAACTGCACACATAGACAAAGCCATCCTCATCAACAGTGACTCCAGCAGGACCAGGGATGACATTACTACTGACATGACCAACACACTCACCACTGGGTTTGAATACATACACACCATAGTCACAATCACTAGCAATGAAATGACCACATTTGGTATCAAAACATATTCCCCTAAATTCAGAGAGCTCCAGTGATGGTGATAGATCGAGGTGGCAGATGAAGACTCCATTTGGAGCACACCTGTACACACTAATCTTCCCCTTACCAGCCACATACAGACCTTCAGGACCTTGAGCTATGTCTCGAGGCTCAGGACACTCCTTTGTTTGGATAGTTCCCACAACATTGCAGTCCATGTCAAATATCTTCACCAACTGGCTGGCACGGTCCAAAACATAGAGTTGATTGTCAATGATCTTGACAGAGTATGGCAACTGTAGCTCATCACCAACTGTTTTCAGGAGTTGACCATTTGAACTGAATTTGAAAAGGCACTTGGCACCAATGTCAGTGACATAGACAGCTCCATCTGAAGCAACTGCTACTCCACAAAGATCTTTGAACTGATTACACTCAATGGTCTGAACTTTCTTTCCATTTCTGGTCATAACAGTTACCCTTTCACAACCAATCTCACTCTCAGAAACTAAGCACGGCAATCCATCCTGTGGAATTGAAACCCCAGTCTCGGTAACTATCAGCTGCTGTTTGTTGTTAACGGCTACTCCCCATGGCTGCTCCAAGCTCCCTATGCTACGAACTTGTCCTCGTCCTAGTTGAGAGAGAGGTAATTTGACGAAGACTCGGAAGGGGCTCCCCGCAATCTTTTTGTCCTTTACCTTCACTATGAGATCATGTCCACCTCTGACCTGAGGAGTGACTGAGATGCTGAAGATCCCTACACCATTCCCGACCACGTCTCCCTCTAGTGATGATGATGGATCCGCCACACATTTCAGACTGGCAGAGACGTCTTCCAGGGAGGCTGTGGGGGCAGCCAGACTCACTTCCACTGGGGAACCCAAGTCAACAGAGTTAATGTTAAAATTAAAAACTTCCGGCGGTGAAGACTGGCTATAGACTACACCAAGACACTCTGGAATGATGTGGGGAGAGGGAAGTTCGCAAGCAATGTCGGCAGTGGCTGATGGCTCCAGGGACAGCTGTCGATGACGTTTCTCTTCATCCTCCATCTTGGTCGCCAGTTGGGTCCGGATGCTCATGAGTCCTGGTCAGACGTCGTGCCCTCCACGTTCTCCTCTCCACAACTCACCAGAAGTGGACCTCCTTCTGTTCCACCTGCAGCACCCTCTTCTGATCCGCCAGAGCATCCTTCTTCTCCTGGGCCAGGGAGCGGCTTTCTTCACCAGCTCTGCCTCTCCTCTGGTCCAGACAGCCTTCAGGCTGGTCAAACGACTGCTGGATTGGACCTGCACACCTCCTCATTCTGCCTCTCCCCTTACCTCTTCAGAGACCAGGGTCTTCTCGGCACCCGCCATGTCGGCCGCCACTTCTGGATGAGCCAGCGAGTGGCGCAGTGTCTTCCTGCTCTTGGTGGCACACTTGTGGCAGACACTCAAACTTGTGTCCGCTGTGGTCATGATGGTGCAGCGTCTCGACAGATGATGCGGTCGCAGTCGAGCAAGAGAGAGCTTCTTCGGTTCGCCGTGGTCCGCACATGCGACAGGTGGCGCTTCTTTTCAAAGGAATGCTCTTTGCGCCACCTTTTTTCAGATCTTCCAGACTAGAGACAACGTGACCCGCCAAAACCTTTAGCTTTTTGTGACTAACAACGCAATCGCCGCAAATGAACTCGGTACACTGTCGACAGAAGGCGACGGACTTAGCCGCTGCTGAGCACTGCTCGCAAAGCGCCTCCACTTTCCCCTCCGCCTTTGCCATCTTCCCATACACGTCTTTCATTCTCTCCACGAAGAAGGCGGGCTCGAGCGCGGCCGCACGCCGGTGAGGGAGACTCGTCTCTTGCGCCTCGGTGGCAGTGTAACGCCTACCTCGAGAGGCGGCCGCCATCCTTCTCGATGCACGTCGAGCAGTAGTAGTGGTTGCAGGGAAGCACTTAGCCTGCTGGTAGACTTCCTGGCACACGGCGCACGTGATCTCTCTCTCCAGCTCCTCCAGCGGCTTGTCTCTGGGGTCTGGGCCTTCCGCCATGACGACTTTTTCAATACCACAACAAAGTTCTCAGGAGTATAGTTACGCCCCTTTTTCTACTATGCGCATGCACATATATATTCACCTATATAATATATCGGCGGCGCGTCATGAAAGTTTGTGTGTTGCTGAAACGTTCTGATTGAAGAGGTCAACTGTATTTCTCAGAGATTTGATATCTTCAGGGCCTACTCTGCAGCAACCCCCTGAAATAGAAATGATCATAGAATGGGTATATTGGGAGTGACATGGTGTATACCAATGTATGTTGCTCCGAGTTCCATCCATTTCCCAGCCTCACAAGAGAGATCTCTAGTCTCCCCAGTCCAGCAGCTGTGTGATGGAGAGAAACACAATGAATGATTACTCACATCAAGAAGGTTAAATGATGTTGTATCAATGTATATAGCAGTTACGCTAACAACGGAATCAGAGACATCAAAAAGACAACCAGTACAGAACTTTGTGCTTTCTAACTTGTGTGCATTATGTGAAGCATTAACTCATGATTACTAGTCACTTATCATACTGTACATTAGGATCAACTGACAAGAGAAACAACATGGTGAAGACTTGTGTTAGAGAGGAAGAGAGAGAGAGAGAGAGAGAGTAGAAGCAGCTGAAGAAGAGAGAGAGAGAGGTGATATAATAGAGAGGGGTACATACTGGTGGGTGGTGTCCCAGTCTTCTCCACTGTTGGGGTAGACCACAAACCCAGTCTCTGGACCATCTCCACAACTCTTCAGTAGAGGCTGCAGTCAGCCACAGTGTATAATACATGGGCAGGAGAATGTCATTGCCAGCATACTAGCTAACAAGTGATAGTTTTTACATAGCATAGTAGGATCATGAGGATTCAGAGCCAATCACAAGTGTTGTGTGTTGTGAGATATGCTATATATTCAATCCAAAAGCGTTCTGGTGATTACTGGTGAAATCTGCTACTGGCAATCTCAAAAGTTTTGCCATGTAGAGTGCTTTATCATACTGTAGTCCTGTATTCTACGATACACTCAGTAAAGGTTAAACATAAGCCGCAATAGCTCCATACCTGGATGTGGTTTGGGTCAGAACAGTTGACACCTACAGCCACAACCTGCTGATTACCATCTCTCTTCCCTCTCTCTCTGGCCACACCCATCACTGTCTTCACTGCCTGTCGGAACTCCTCCCCATGACAGGTCTCCGTTCCATTCTGAGATGAGGAGAATGTGGTATGGAATGGGGAATAACAAAATCTATGAACTTTTGCTAAATTGTTTTCTGTATTGTGAGTTGATGTGGATTGTCACAAATCCAAGGTAACTACTTGTATTATGATGGTTGAATGCACTAAAGTTTTAATTTGTGAATAACTTGAGTTGTAGTAATTAACGAGGAGAGTCTTACCCGACAAGAGAAGCTAATCCATGCCGTAGTGTCAGTAAACTCAGTAGTCAACAGATGGACGAGGGCCAGAGCCTCAGTGAGTGCAGGCAGTGTCTCGCAGGCAACCAGATCCACTCCACACTCCACCAGGGTCTTCAGGCGAGGTCTGTGCCACACCTCCAACTCCTAGGGGTGTGGTTTGGGGCGGGGTCACGTGATAAACACACGACCCCCACCAAACCTCTTGGAAAGAAGGTAATGTGTATTGGACAGGGAGAAAAATTTCGCAATTCAGTAGAAAACCTGTATTTCGCTGAAAAAACTGCCCACAAGATTGAATTGGGTTGTGCTAATGTTTTCCTGCTACACTACAATAGTAAAGTCCTTTACCCAGCCCTTAATGACGTCACATGACCCACCTGTTGTGTCATGTGATCCACGTAGTCTCCGGTGTACTCTGACCCATCGTGTTGGCAGGCTCCATAGGGACCCACTGATCCAGCTATCTGAACCTCTCTACCAACTGGCTGATGATATGGACATGAGTTCAGTGTTAAGGGCAAATATTATCGTTGATCAATACTGATACTGGAGTACCGCAACCAAGTTATAGCAGTTGGATCTGTAAACTTTAAAGGGAATTTGGCAATATAAATAAAACAGAAACCTGATTGCATTATTGCACTGTGTAGTTCTCTCTTAGCCTTTATACTGCCACATTTCCTTGGCCTACAGTAACAAGATGTCTACTGCGGGATGCGTGTTAAATGGAGCCATCACTGCTGTGTAAGTGTTACCGTATCAGTTGTTACATTCTCAGAGATGAACTGGCTTCTGGCCTCCCTGGCCAAGGTCACACTTCGACCAATCAGATCACGAGCTTCAACCTCACTGACCCCTAGCTCCCTGCGGAATCCCTCCACACTGGCCTGCTGGCATTACGTCGTCATTACATCATCACATTACATCATCAATCTTGCCTGATAAGAAGCTGTAATAAGGACATCAGCTCCACTCTCTAAGTAGCTGTATATTGAGAAAAGGGAGGAAGAAATAATGACTGTATATACATACAGGGGACCACCGTGATGGTCATGTGACTGATGATGATGTCATAGGTGAAGGAGACCGATCAGGGAGGAAGGTGTGGCTGGCAGTACAGTTGCCGACCAGGACACTCCGCAGTCAGTTCCACATCTCTCAGACCATGAAGGTGAGTCCTGCATACAATCTGGGACATCCCACTTTAATCTTGGGCTAGTGTTGATCAACTTGGTTGTACTGCTTAATCAGCAGTATTGTTTTTTGGTAAGCATGAATCTCTGAAGAAATGGCTACTATTAGACGTGTGTGGTAATGTAACAAAGCCGCTGATTCAGCACAACCAAGAACTCTCTAATGGGCAATGTCTGGGTACAAGACTTTTCTAGAACATCCCATATTAATTCAGGATGTCCAGTTAGCAGATGGGACTCGCTCTCTCATTAGGTGGTGTACAGTTGGCTGGAAGATGAGGGAGAGGTCTTACATGGTCAGGTCCTCATCACCCCTCACCCCCGTCAGCTCCTTGACGACTGGGGTCGCACCCTGGAGGATTATGGCATCACCATGGATACCAAACTTTTTCTGGAAGAACTAGGAGATGACTGATATTTCTGATCATCACAATCAATCATAATTAGCTGTTGTTCACATTATGGGCTGAATTGGGGAGAGATCCTTGTCTCTGGGAGTCAAATACTGTAGCTACATATATATCATTAGCGCGATTGAGTGAACATAATATTATCCAGAGTGATAAAAGCTGCTTTTTCCCTCTTGCACGTAACATAATAGTCAACCACATAAGAGAAATTACAAGATATGAAGATTACTAATAGGAGAGGTAACGCTGCACACATACACAAAGCTCATCCTCATCAACAGTAACTCCAGCTGGACCAGGGATGACATCACTACTGACATGACCAACACACTCACCACTGGGTTTGAATACATACACACCATTACCCTGATCACTAGCAATGATATGACCACATTTGGTATCAAAACATACTCCCCTAAATTCAGAGAGCTCCAGTGATGGTGATAGATCGAGGTGGCGGATGAAGACTCCATTTGGAGCACACCTGTACACACTAATCTTCCTTTCACCAGCCACATACAGACCTTCAGGACCTTGAGCTATGTCTTTAGGATAAGGACACTCCTTTGTTATGATAGTTCCCACAACATTGCAGTCCATGTCAAATATCTTCACCAACTGGCTGGCAAGGTCCACAACATAGAGTTGATTGTCAATGATCTTGACAGAGAATGGCTTCTTTAGCTCACCACCAACTGTTTTCAGGAGTTCACCATTTGAACTGAGTTTGAAAAGGCACTCAGCATCAGTGTCAGTGACATAGACAGCTCCATCTGAAGCAACTGCTACTCCACGAACATCTTTGAATTGGTCACACTCAATGGTCTGTACTTTCTCTCCATTTCTGGTCATAAAAGTTACCCTCTCACAACCACTCTCCCTCTCAGTAACTACCAGTTGCTGTTTGTTGTTCACGGCTACTCCCCATGGCCACCACAAGCTCACTATGCTACGAACTTGTCCTCGTCCTAGTTGAGAGGGAGGTAATTTGACAAAGACTCGGAAGGGGCTTCCCCCAATCTCTTTGCCCTTCACTTTCACTATGAGATCATGTCGACCTCTGACCTGAGGAGTGACGGAGATGCTGAAGATCCCTACACCATTCCCGACCACCTCTCCCTCTAGTGATGATGATGGATCCGCCACACATTTCAGACTGGCAGAGACGTCTTCCAGGGAGGCTGTATGTGCAAAGAGCTTTACTTCAACTGGGGAACCCAAGTCAAAGGTGCCAGGGTTCTGAACGAGTGCTGGAGTTGGTTGAAACAATACCGAGCCAAGATCATCAGGAATGACGTGAGGAGAGGGAAGTTCGCAAGCAATGTCGGCAGTGGCTGATGGCTCCAGGGACAGCTGTCGATGACGTTTCTCTTCCTCCTCCATCTTGGTCGCCAGTTGTGTCCGGATGCTCATGAGGTCCTGGTCGCTCGTGCCCTCCACGTTCCTCTCCACAACCTCCACCAGAAGTTGGACCTCCCCCTGTGCCACCTGCAGCACCCTCTTCTGAGCCGCCAGAGCTTCCTTCTTCTCCTGGGCCAGTGAGCCGGCTTTCTTCACCAGCTCTGCCTTCCTCCGGTCCAGAACTGTCTTCAGCTTGTCAAACGACCGCTGGATGGACCTGCACACCTCCTCCTTCTGCCTCTCCACCTTAGCCTCTTCAGAGACCAGGGTCTTCTCAGCACCCGCCATGTCGGCCGCCACCTTCTGGAGTGGAGCCAGCGAGTGGCGCAGTGTCTTCCTGCTCTCGGGGGCACACTTGTCAGAAACTCAAACTTGTGGTCTCTGTGGTCGATGATGGTGCAGTCTCGACAGATGAGGCGATCGCAGTCAAAGCAATAGAGCTTCTTCGGCTCGCCGTGGTCCGCGCATGCGACAGGTGGCGCGTCTTTCAAAGGAATGCTCTTTGCGCCACCTTTTTTCAGATCTTCCAGACTAGCGACAACGTGACCCGCGAAAACCTTTAGCTTTTTGTGGATAGCAACGCAATCGCCGCAAATGAACTCGGTACACTGTCGACAGAAGGCGACGGACTTTGCCGCCGAGCACTGCTCGCAAAACGCCTCCACTTTCCCCTCCACCTTCGCCATCTTCCCGTACACGTCTTTCATTCTCTCCACGAAGAAGGCGGGCTCGAGCGCGGCCACGCCGCCGGGAGGGAGACTCGTCTCCTTGCGGCACTCGGGGCAGTGTAACGGCCTACCTCGACAGGCGGCCGCCATCTTCTCGATGCACGTCGAGCAGTAGTAGTGGCTGCAGGGAAGCAACTTGGCCTGCTGGTAGACTTCCTGGCACACGGCGCACGTGATCTCTCTCTCCAGCTCCTCCAGCGGCTTGTCTCTGGGGTCTGGGCCTTCCGCCATGACGAATTCTTCAATACCACAATGCTTCCTCAGTGAGTATTTCTACTTTGCGCATGCGCATAGATATGTGTTCCTACAGCGTCATGAAAGTTTGTGTGTTGCTGAAACGTTCTGATTGATCATGAAGAGGTCAACTGTATTTCTCAGAGATTTGATGTCTTCAGGACCAACTCTGCAGCAACCCCCTGATATAGAAATGATCATAGAATGGGTATATCGGGAGTGGCATGGTGTATACCAATGTATGTTGCTCCGAGTTCCATCCATTTCCCAGCCTCAGAAGAGATATCTCTGGTCTCCCCAGTCCAGCAGCTGGGTGATGGGGAGAAACACAATGAGTGATTACTCACATCAAGAAGGTTAAATGATGTTGCATCAATAGCAGTTGCGCTAACAACAGAATCGGAGATACCAGAAGAACTTAGTGCTTTCTAACTTGTGTGTATTAGGTGAAGCATTAACTAGTTACTTATCATACTGTACATTAGGATCAACTGACAAGAGAAAATAAGATAGACAACAACAGAGAGGAAGAGAGAGAGAGAGAGAGAGTAGAAGCAGCTGAAGAAGAGAGAGAGAGAGGTAATTAATAATACTGGTGGGTGGTGTCCCAGTCTTCTCCACTGTTGGGGTAGACTACAAACCCAGTCTCTGGACAATCTCCACAACTCTTCAGTAGAGGCTGCAGTCAGTCACAGTGTATAATACAAGGGCAGGAGAATGTCATTGCCAGCATATATACTAGCTAACAAGGGCTAGTTTTTACGAAGCACAGTACAATCATGATTATGTGTGGTAAGATATGGTAATCAATCCAAAAGCTTTCTGGTGATTTCTGGTGAAATCTGCTACTGATTAGTTTTCCTGCTCAAAGGTTTCCCTATGTAGAGTGCTTTATCATACTGTAGTCCTGTATTCTACGATACACTCAGTAAAGGTTAAACAAAAGCTGCAATAGCTCCATACCTGGATGTAGTTTGGGTCAGAACAGTTGACACCTACAGCCACAATCTGCTGATTACCGGCTCTCTTCCCTCTCTCTCTGGCCACACCCATCACTGTCTTCACTGCCTGTCGGAACTCCTCCCCGTGACAGGTCTCCGTTCCATTCTGAGATGAGGAGAATGTGGTATGGAATGGGGAACAACTAAATCTATGAACTTTTGCTAAATTGTTTTCTGTATTGTGAGTTGATGTGGATTGTCACAAATCCTAGGTAACTATAATACTTGTATTATGATAGTTGAATGCACTAAAGTTTTAATTTGTCAACAGCTTGAGTTGTAGTAATTAACGAGGAGGGTCTTACCCGACAAGAGAAGCTAATCCATGCCCTAGTGTCAGTAAACTCAGTAGTCAGGAGATGGACGAGGGCCAGAGCCTCAGTGAGTGCAGGTAGTGTCTCACAGGCAACCAGATCCACTCCACACTCCACCAGAGTCCTCAGGCGAGGTCTGTGCCACACCTCCAACTCCTAGGGGTGTGGTTTGGGGCGGGGTCACGTGATAAACACACCACCACCCCACCAAACCTCTTGGAAAGAAGGTAATTGTATTGGACAGGGAGAAAAATTTCGCAATTCAGTAGAAAACCTGTATTTCGCTGAAAAAACTGCACACAACATTGAATTGGGTTGTGCTAATGTTTTCCTGCTACACTACAATAGTAAAGTCCTTTACCCAGCCCTTAAATGATGTCACATGACCCACCTGTTGTGTCATGTGATCCACGTAGTCTCCGGTGTACTCTGACCCATCGTGTTGGCAGGCTCCATAGGGACCCACTGATCCAGCTATCTGCACCTCTCTACCAACTGGCTGATGATATGGACATGAGTTCAGTGTTAAGGGCAAATATTATAGTTGATCAATACTGGTATTGGAGTACAACCAAGTTATTGCAGTTGGCCCTGTAAAATTTGGCAAATATAAATAAAGCAGAAACCTGATTGCATTATTGCACTGTGTAGTTCTCTCTCAGCCTTTATACTGCCACATTTCCATTTTAAGGCCTACAGTAACAAGATGTCTACTGCGGGATGCATGTTAAATGGAGCCATCACTGCTGTGTAAGTGGTACAGCAACAGTCGTTACATTCTCAGAGATGAACTGGCTCCTGGCCTCCCTGGCCAACGTCACACTTCGACCAATCAGATCACGAGCTTCAACCTCACTGACCCCTAGCTCCTTGCGGAATCCCTCCAAACTGGCCTGCTGGCATTACGTCGTCATTACATCATCACATTACATCATCAATCTTGCCTGATATGAAGCTGTAATGAGGACATCAGCTCCACTCTCTAAGTAGCTGTATATTGAGAAATGGGAGGAACCAAATAATGACTGTACATACAGGGGACCACTTGGTAAATTCATAGTCAAAATTTACTGGCGCATGTAGTGCTCTGATAATATGCCTGGTTTTGGGGGTAAACTGTCATAGAGAACTAACAGACTTAACCCAATACCTCTTGTGAACGTTCAGGATGGCCTCGGGGTCAGAGTGCAAAAGTCTCGCACTCCAGAGTGGATCTGCCTGGTGGGCAGAGTGCGCATGCGTAAACATGTATCTCCACGTGTCGCCACCACTCACGCACACTCGCCTCACAGAAATTGTGTGTCCTCTTCTCTCTAATTCAGTAGCCAGTCCTCCGTCTAGCAACAGAACTCTGCCAGACCTTCCACTCCATAAATCAGGGAAATCCGTCATCTTTGTAACTGGCGGCGCGCGCGGAAAAATTGACCTTTTCGGCCCAAACCACGTGGCCGTATAGCGCGATCGAGTGAACACTGCACACGGCTCTGAAAGTCTCGAGTCGAAAGGCCGTTTGGAAGGATTTGGCTAAACCTTACTCTACCGCTGCTGGTTGCTGTGGCACTAAGACAGAAATGGCTGCGGAGAGGCCCGGGAAGCGAGCATGTCTGGATACCTTTCTCTTCACCTCCGAGAGCGTGGGAGAGGGACATGCGGGTGAGCCCTGTACAACGAAAACTGCAGTTGCGCTCGTTTTTTTGCGGGGTTCTTGACGCGGTAGTCTGCCCGAGGCGTCGCTTTGCGGTAGTCTAGCGCTTATGCCTCTGAGGCGTTGGCTTTGTGGATTGTTGCGACTTCGCCTTCCTTTCGTAAGTTTTTGCCGGAATAACTTTTGTTCTCGCTGCCAGGAGTTATTAGGTTTCGAGGCTGGCAGCGTTTATAATGTGTGTGCAGAGCTAATTACTTCTGGAATTCTTGTAGCGCCAGGTGCGTATACTGCGTGTAGTGTGGTCGGCGTCCTGAGCGAGCGAGTCGACCAGTAATGGCGGCTGGAAATGGAGAGACGTTTCTGTTTACATCAGAGAGCGTAGGGGAAGGACATCCAGGTGGAAAAATCTAGGCAACGCTCTCCAATTTTGTCTCTCTGTCTCTGTAGCTGAGCATGATTTCATGCTGTTGATAGGTCTGCACACCTGGAATAAGCTGTTTTGTGACTGTTGTTAATTTCTTCTGACTTCCCTCTCTCTCTATTTTGCTGGGTCCAGATATCTATTGTATGTATGTCTGCTTGTCTATTACTTCGCGACTTTCTTACACTAGGTCACCCTGTACAATACATGTGAATGTTTCTGTGACAATACATTGTGCTGTTCGATGTCTTTGTCTCTCTCCCTCCCCTCCGATTTGACAGACAAGATCTGTGATCAGGTGTCAGACGCCATATTGGATGCCTGTCTGGCCCAAGACCCACTCAGCAAAGTGGGGTGCGGTAAGCATCTCTCAAACACACTACTTCTCATTTTTCGATAATTCTTACACGCTGAAGGCCCATGCTGTACTGTTCCCGAGACTGGGAACGGAACTAGAAGCTAGATTTAGTCTCTCTCTATCTCTCCCTCACCAGAGTGTGCGACGAAGACAGGGATGATAATAATCCTGGGAGAGATCACCAGCACTGCTGTCGTCGACTACCAGAAGGTTGTCAGGGAAACCGTCAAGAGAATTGGCTACGATGACTGCAGGAAAGGTGAGTGAAAGATTCTAAGATCCTGCTGGAGGGGGGGAGAAGTCACATGATTGGCAGGTATTCAAGTTGTGCTATACTAGTAGTACTACAATCATACCCACAAATATGGTGTGAGAAACCTGTTTCTGCTTAATTACATACTGTCTCCTCCTTTAACATTTCCCTAGGAATGTTCTCAGTGTAATAAATGAATTCCTTGAGAGAGAAATGTAGAGAGAGAAGGTGACCCAGTCACCAGTCAACAGTGATGTTTGATTTGAGCCAAACTTAGGGGCTAAAGTCATTATTAGGGGGTCCCTGGAATTTAACCCTCTTCATCCGACTCAGGGTTTGACTACAAGACGTGTAATGTACTGACTAAAGTCATTATTAGGGGGCCCCTGGAATTTAACCCTCTTCATCCGACTCAGGGTTTGACTACAAGACGTGTAATGTACTGACGGCAGTAGAGAAGCAGTCTGCAGAAATAGCGCACGGAGTGCACGTTGGTCGTCGTGACGAAGACATTGGAGCTGGCGACCAGGTAATTAGCAGGAACTTAATTACAGGGGTTCCTTGTGTAACTGTGACGTTTTACATGTAAATCCTTTTATGCCTAGAAATGTGTGAAAATGGCACAAGACTTAGAACTATGCAACTGAGAACGTGTGGTACATTTACTGACCTTTGACCTGCCACACCCCCTCTCCGCAGGGACTGATGTACGGGTATGCCACAGACGAGACTGAGGAGATGATGCCTCTGACCATCATGTTGGCCCACAAGATGAACCAGCTGATGGCCAAGTATCGCAGAGATGGAACACTCCCGTGGATCAGGCCTGACTCAAAGACCCAGGTATACTGAGTACAGTGGTACCTAGATACACGATTGGGATGTGTTTCAGCCTACTTTGGCACAACAAACGACAATAACATGAACGAAGTCTTTGCTGAGCGTGCATGTCCAGGTTCATAACAGAGCCTCATTTTCCCACGTCAGAAATGTAATTAACAGGCAAAGCAACACATTCTGAAGAGAGGGAAAAGGCTTATTGGCACCTCTGGAAACTTCTGACTATAGGACACTTGGTTTTGCCTCAAACCTCGGAACAGAAGGCCACCTCTGAACAAAGGATACTTTATGGTAGTTTTCACTGCTTGAAGGAGTGGGGAAGAAGGTCGTTTTGCGCTGTAGTTTGTTTGTGTTGGGGTCCCTCTTTTCCCTCTCCTGCCAGTGATGGTGGAATATCACTACATTCCGGTCCATCTCTCACCTCTCTCTCTCCTGGCAGGTGACAGTTGAGTATCGTCTCGAGGAAGGAGCGTGTGTCCCAATGAGGGTCCATACTGTGGTGGTGAGTGTTCAGCACAGTGAAGACATCTCCCTGGAGGATATGAGATCCCAGATCACCGAGAAGATTGTCAAGGTCTCTCTTCTCTCTCTTCTCTCTCTCTCTTCTCTTCATGTTCCTTTTGGTACTGTGACATAAAGGCTAAATTTAGATATGTTACTAAATTTAGAAATGTTACTAAAGATGAAACTAAACAATAGGGCCCATTGAAAGAACTCTGTTTTAGTAGCAGTTTATAAATTTAACCTTTTTATTGTACTGGCACATTCCCTTTAGTAACTTTGCAGATTTTATGCATTTTTGCCCCTGATTGTGTGTTTGTCAGAGAGAGTTGTGTTAAGTGATTAACCAAAACATTTTAGTCAGTTTTAGTTTTACTCCTTCCCTGTGATTGGGCAGACCCTGTAGCCCCGCCCCCTGGTGGGTGTGGCTCTGACCAGGCGTCTTAATCTCGCAGGGAGAGAGAGAGAAGTGCAGGTTAATCCCAGACTGGGAGGTTCCATCTTCCACTCTCTGTCTGGTTCATGCCCTCCACACATCTTTCATCTCTTGAATATGATCGCTGGTTTTAAACGGATTGTTTCTTAAGGTTCCGTTATCTTTGAGGTGGAGTATTTATTAAAGCCTGTAATAGTGCGGAGTTTTCTCAAACACAATTTTCAGGGACGTGAGGCACATAATGTCTTCTCTCCCCTCCTCATTCAGGAGGTGGTACCAGCCAAGTATCTGGACGACCAGACAGTCTATCATATCCAGCCTTCTGGGTCGTTCATTATTGGAGGTCCTCAGGTAACATGTAGCTGCGACTAACGTTGCACGCATGATGTTGTAAGTTGCTATTATGAGCTACCATAGCATAGTGGATCCAAGACAATAACTCTATGGCGTGGTTTTGTGCATTACCTTCATGTGATTGCTTTTAAACAACTGCAAAAAACGATTTTTGTCAAATATATTCTGCTCGTACATGATAGTCGTAACGGTTGCCGTTGTTGTGGGGCACTCATTTGTCATTTGCTGCATTCCTGGTAACCCAGAGTGACGCAGGTCTCACTGGCCGTAAGATCATAGTGGACACCTACGGAGGCTGGGGTGCTCATGGGGGCGGGGCCTTCTCCGGGAAAGACTGCTCCAAGGTGGACCGATCAGCCGCCTACGCCGCTCGCTGGATCGCCAAGAGTCTGGTCGCTGCCGGGCTGGCACGACGCGTCCTCCTTCAGGTGGGTTTGTCGTCATGGAGATTACATAAGCAAACAAGCAGCAGTGTCCATGTGACAACAATGAGGACAAAGGCAACTACACCCACACAGTGTACTGTTTGTGGGCCCACGGGTAGAGATTGAACAATCAGTGAGGGGGAAAACACTACCCGTGGGCCCACAAACAGTACACGGTTTCCCACTGATTGTTCTGCCTCAACTTACACACACCTATTGTTGTACACCTGCCATGATGCATAGAAAAACAGTGAGATAGGGGAAAGATTGAAGCGAGATAGGGGGAAAGTGTCGATCAGTATAAGTGTACCTGATTTCAGTGAACACCAGAATACATCCATGACCTCACTCCCTGTCCAGATCTCGTATGCCATTGGAGTGGCTCGTCCCCTATCAATGTACATTGACACCTATGGTACAGGGTCAAAGTCGAATGCTGAACTGCATGACATCATTGAGAAGAACTTTGACCTCCGACCTGGAGTTATTATAAAGTAAGGTCATCCCCATTACTACAACCTACCTCAAAATTTTCCCCCTTACCACAGGGATTTGGGATTGCGTAATCCGATATTTGGAGCTACAGCGTGCTATGGTCATTTTGGGAGGGCGGAGTTTCCATGGGAGCAACCAAAGAAGCTAGTTCTGTAGCGTTTTTGATGAACTATTTATATTGGAAGGAGTTCCTGGGATTCCGCGGAAACTGAAGTTCAAATTACGTAATGAAGTTTATCACGTGATTACCTGTGCGCATGCGCGTCTTTGGGGTATAGGTATATGAAGCGCGCGCGGATTTGTCCGCGGCACATTGTTGTGTGATCAGCAAAGACAAAGAACTGATTTCTACTTCAAGCTCTACACCTGTCTGGAGGAAATGGGATCGCTAATCAGCAGTCGGCGGTAAGAAATTATTCTCGTTTTGGATTTTGATCTGTTAGTAGGTAGCTACTACGTCGAAAAACGCGTGGTACCGGTCGTTGTACAGTTGAGCCCTCGAGCGTAATGACTAGCTAATGTTGTTCCTCTCTGAGTGTTCGGTTGTCGCTCAGTGCCGCGTGGTTTGGTGGCGACTGGGCAACTAGCTGTAATTGCTGGTGTTGCTGGCAGTGAAGCGGACGGACGAGCCAATTGATAAGGCCTCTGTAGGTCGTGCGTGTCTCCCGCTACCCGCTATCTGACCTCGTACAAAGGAAGGTCACTGCCTGTAATGGCGCGTGTGTGAAGGGAAATATTCTCCGACGTATTAGAGGGGGACAGGTAGGGGGAGTAGAGCAGCTTTGTAGCTTGCTATAATACCTGAACACTTCGTCGAAGTAGCTATAGAAATGATGCACATTTTGAAATAATCCTGTAGCATTGCTGCATGAGGTGTAAAGGCATGTCATGTCAGGGAGTTTGTTGTTTGCTGCTATGAAACTTGACTTCTGTCCACGTTATGATTGGTCTGTTGATACTCTGTAGTTGTAGTAGCCCTATGCATGGTTTGGCTGCAGTACAAGGTATGCAGGAGAAGCTTTGGTGGATCACCAAATGAGGCTGCAGTGAGTGGCAGTCAGTCCAGATCATGCGCTGACCTGCCAGACCAGGTCTGTGGAGTAAACCTTTGCCTTATACACCGCCACCTTCATCCATGTCCTTACATCAACATCAGCTCTCGCTGAGCTGATGCTTTTTCAGAGCAAACAGCAATTTTGAATGCAGGATTAGAAATTCTTTTGTGAAAGTAAATAATCCCTCAAAGGGTAATGTACAGTCTGGCTGACTTCAACAACAAAACAGAAAGATAGACAGCATATTCATATAAGGGAGTACATCTAGCCAATTTGTCAGAGGAAGTGTCTCTGAACTGTGGAAAAGGTAGTCTTGTGGCGTCTATAGAGGATGAACTGTGTCATATGTGTCACTGACTCATTACTGGACCTCTCTGTTGAGAGTGGATCAAAGACGGCTTTTGAAGTCTGAATTAGTAGTAAAGTGGCTCCAAGACTATTTCAAAGCCTAGGACCTACACAAGTTGCTTAGTCTTCACTACAACCAGGTTACATGAGGTTTTATGCTTCAGTAGTCATACTCCTGTTGTCCCTGATCAAGAATAGATTAACACACATGTGCTATATAGTGCAGCCCAGCTACAGAGTTGCTAAACTCACCAATTTACGTAATGTACCAAAACAAGTCCATATATCCCCGTTCTCCCTCCTTAACACCATCATACCTGCCGTCCTCAAGCCATATACCGCCACCATCATTTTTCACCCTGCTCCAATATAATTATTATACTGTCCTGCCTGGGGCTGCACCAGACAGCCTATACATTCCGGGCATTCCTATGATCTCCCCATTATGGAGAGCAGGTAGCAAACACAGTCATTTCCATAGACACTGTAACCATAGAGCCTTTGGGGCAGAAGCCTCTGCAGTAATGCCTCGCCTCATCAAATCAGCACACTGGACTCAGTATCCACACAAGTCCCTCCACTAGTTTCTTTAGTGCATAGTGTGTTCAACGAGAGATCTGATTGGTCCGCACGAATCTTCTCTATATACAGTGACTGAAATATTTGCTGTGACTAGGAACTGGTGTTGAAAGATTTGGCTGCGGCATATTAAACATGAATCTTTCAACTGTTTATTATGCTCTGGTCCAAGTACTGCCAGTAGCATACCCCCTACTGATTGTTAGCCTGAAAGAATTCGTAGGAAATGATTGTAGTTGAGGCAGAGTTAGGCCACAGTTTTGCCAACATTGCCAGCGACCTGGCAACATTCTCTCCCTCTCCCTCCCTCTTCACTGGGAGTGGTGGTTCTGGAATGACGACCCTGAGCTGCCAAGTCATGCACATAGCCTCCGTAATCATTTTCTATATCTCTGTAGTTGGCGCAAACCTTTAAGGTTCACAGTTTTGAATTGGGCAATGTACCTATCATTATCTGTGAAATTAATAGCGCCCCACCAAATTTGGTGCTATAATATTGCACTGTAGAAGTTGTGGTAAAAAATGAAAACAGTCATAAAAATCTATTGAAAAGTTGTATGCATTATGCATACATTGGAAGGGCCAGACGGGTCTCTAAAGAAGGGCCCTGCCCTGTCTCCTGCCAGTGGTACAGGTCTCTAAAGAAGGGCCCTGCCCTGTCTCCTGCCAGTGGTACAGGTCTCTAAAGAAGGGCCCTGCCCTGTCTCCTGCCAGTGGTATTTGGCAGATTACGATGCGACGCAATGTCGAAATTGATTGTTATTGTCGGAGGGGTGCCAATACCTGGTGTGGGTGGGAGAGAGATTGGAATTCAAGTAACAAAGGTGCTCTCTCGTTATTTGATCAGACCTTGGCCTGTCTCCAGCTCCTACAAATTGACGCTTTGATTGAAAAAATGTCCTTTATTTAAAGGCATCCCTTATTTATAGATGATCTAAGTGCGGAGAAGAACAAGTTTCCTTAGAGAGGTGTTGCTTACTTGGATGGTCATTTTATAGTTTTACTTTCTACTTTCGATAATAAAACTTTCACTCTTGCTATTTTGGTTGGCTTCATTATGACAACACTTCAGAGGTGTTTATTTTAGAGGTCCTTGTTTGGTACAAATCCAACACGTTCTCTTGTGAGAGTAAACGAAGGCCTATTTTGCCAGAGTTCACTCCTAACACAACCAATGAAGGCTGCCAAGTCTAAATGTGGCCATTTGTGGCCTCACCATGTGGGATGAAGCAGGAGGGGATGTGGATGCCTAAACAGACTGTGAGGTGGTGGTATGGGCTGTATATATGGCTAGGGTTTGGCAAATATGTCGGTGGGTGGAGTGCTACCAGTACAATATGAGTGGGCAGTGAAGGGGTGGATAATATTTATGTTGTCAGTATCACATATTGGCCCTGTGAGGCTGCGAGTGTGCATTTGTTTAAGTTTGTGTTCTCCCAATCTGTCAATATTGACACCATGTGTGGGATTTCTCCTACACTTCAGTGTTGGCATACCTACTTGCAGGGAGCTACTCACGTTTCCTCATAGCTCCACTTTTGAGCTGTCAAAATGGTTGCACGCGGCACTTTTCTAAACCTCGGTAATTCTGTATGCATGCCACCACTAAACATATGATAGTATGTAAAGAAGCAAGGAGAATCAGCACACACACAACTAAATTGCTCTGGGTGGGGAATGATTTACTCTCTAGACATATAGCTAGCTAGTGAAGCCAGCGATATGTTCGTAAAACACCAACAAAACATTGTAATAATATGCGCTTGTGGCTCGGGGTGCATGCTTCTTCAATATATGTGACCCGCTCTGGGAAAAGGTATGTACCACTTGGCACAAATATAATTTCAAGATACGCATGGAAATAGCTCAATCTTGGCCGCTTGTGGTATATTGGATTATCAAATCTGATGACAGATTTTGTCCTTCAGTCAAAACACAGTATGGGAGTATTCTGGGGCAGGTCAAAACAGTGCCTGCTGGCCAAGTCTTTATATGGCATATACCGCACATTCAGAGTAAAGTTATTGAGTCATAAGATGCCATAACATAGTTAGTAACACAAGGTCTCAGGCAAGGGAGGTGATGTAATTAAGCCTAATCCGTTTACTCCGCGCACCACCAAAAACTGGTACGGTATCGCGGAATTTTGTTGCTGGCTTTGTTCTGGCTGGGTACATGTGCTCCCAGCAATGCTAGCTGGCCTAGTACCAGCAAACTACATAACTCTGATTGTGAACCAGCTAGCTACATTGTTCTGCGGCTATGCTGACGTACCCAGGAGTCATTCTGTCGCTATGTTCTCTCATCACTCCACCACAGGATCTACCAAACATCATCCAAGAACAGCGGAGGTCGAAAATTCAGGGGACGCTCGAGATCACGTAAGATTTTATAGCCACCATTATGTGTTGTTTGCAGGTTGGTAGCAATCCATGTGTGTAAACAGTGGTTAATGTAGGTTAACCCCGATGGCAAAGATTATTTTAGTGTTAAGTGAGGCAAGGCATGCGTGTATTCCCAAGGCAATTTGGTGCAGGAAGTATAGATCACTGGTGCCAGACCTTCAGACCTGAGTGGGCAGCTAATTCTCAGAATTTTCAGGGAAATGTTTGACGTTTGGAGGCAGTGTTTATACACATCGTTGGAGGAAGTAGAGTGATGTTTGGGAAGTTGGCTTCCCATTTGGTTTTACTTTCCATATTATGTTGTCAGTGCAATCTTTAGCCACATCATCCTCTCCTTCTTCCTCTCTTCCCTCTCCCCTCTCTATCCTCTTTCAATTTCCACCTACCCCCACTTCCTTCCCCCACGGCCCCTCTTCCTTCCTTCCCCCACCACACAGCTGACGTCTACTCCAAGAGAAGCTCCATTAACAGACCTGTTCTTAGACTCCAGGTAAGACTCACCAGCCTTAGTCATAACTGGAGTACCCTGAACCTAGGTCATAGTGTTAAGGTTAAGAACTTACAACTTACCCATCTAATTTCAAACCCTCCCTCCCTCCCTCCCTCCCCTCTCCGCCATCAGGTGAAGCCAGAGACACTCACCAGACAAGGCATACAGACAACAAACGGAGTCTCAGAGTTCAGACGGTCAACTCTCAGAAAACTTGCTCAATCCGGAGTCCCATATGGTACATCTCTATTACTCTCACTAGTATATATGCACTTTAATTACTTGCCTGGCACTTATGTATGGCAAACTCATATAATGGCCAACAGTACTAGTGTAACCCACATATTCGTTGCTGCAAGATTTTTGAATTATGAGATCTAAAATGCATGCATTGTTACCATGGCAGAGAGATGAAAGCAAGTTGTGAATTATGTGGTACACTTATAGAGCGGATGATTGTCATTATGCTTGCTTGAATGTGTCTTTGTTTATATAGAAAACTTGCTGTCGGCACCAGTGAATGGTTGTCGAGCCCACACTCCACCTCCTGTTCTACGTCACAACCTGAATCCTCCCACCTCCCTCCCTCCCCACACCCTCCCCACTCCCTCCCTCCCCCTCCCCAACCTCCCACGGAGGTCGCACTCTCTCGATGCCCTTGACTCCATGATCATCATACAGTATGTGGAGAACGACAGTGACTTGGCTGATGGTGACAGGTCAGATTTCACTCCCATCTCGTCTCTTTCTTTTCTTTTACAAACAAGCTGTGTAGACGGTTAAAGTAATAGAAATCTTTGATCGATTACACAGACTTTATTTCTTCTCCTAACTTATTAGTACATGTCATGATGTCATGAATAAACAATGAAAAGGTCGACTTTTTTATGTGAATGACTACTACTCGAAGCATAAGCTTTTAGTGTGAAAAAAGGTAGTGTAGCTATCATTTGTGTAGGTCTACCACATCTTGATCTACTTGATCTATTGTCAAGTCTTACCCATGTACTGTTATTATGCTACAGCGACAGCCACTTGGCCCGACTCTCTTATGCCAGAATGAAGGAAGTCAAAAGAGAAGAAGAGCATTTCGGAAACATTACGATGTAAGTTGTATTAGTTGGGAGCGAGATAGGGGAAAGATGGGAGTGAGATAGGGGAAAGATGGGAGCGAGATATTGAGTTTGAAGCGAGAAAGGGGGGAATAGGAGAGTTAGAAATGGTGGAAAAGGTTTAAAACGAGATAGGGGGGAAGGGGGGTATAATCTTCATCATTTTTCTTCTCTTGCCCCCAGCAGCAGAAATGGGTCTCCTCCCATCGTTACTCCTAGCACCAGTCTCGGAATGATCAACGTCTGTCAGAGAATACAAGACCACACACCCCAGCAACACACAGACCACGCCCCCCAGCAACCAAGCCACACCCACTCGATAGAGAGAGTTGACCACACCCTCTCCAGTGGGGCAGAGACTGAAGAAAGTGGAAGCAGATCTGCCACACCTGATGATGAGGTATGTGACCAACGAAAATACAAGTATATACAGTGAGAGGGACTGCGACAGAACATAGGGCTAAATTTAGAAGTGTTACTAAAGACAGAACTAAACAATAGGGTCCAGTGAAAAGATTCTAAATTTAGAATTCTGATGCTGCTACATCCATTAAAACCAACTATACACAGCAAGTACAGAGGCGAGATTTCCAGTTTAGTTATGGTGGCTCTCAAATGCAGGGTTTGATGAATGGATGTTCCCAGTTCCGGCGCTGCCGTTCCACTGATGCTCTGTCCCGGTTCCATTCCAGCAAGGGCTGGAAGACATTGTAAGACAATACAACTCCATTGTCACTGCATTAGTGATGACAGTGTCTGTCTCGGTTCCATTCCAGCCAGAGTGCGTCGTCAGAGGACGAGGACGGAGGTGGAATGGAATGGAGTCTGGGAGAGAGCATCATGAAAGCCATGTCTCAGCACGGGCTCACTCTCTTCAACATTGACAACCCAACTTCTGCCAGGTACAGAGACCACACCCACCTACATCTTTTTGTAATTCCTCCAATTATGGTGTCCTATATTAGTTAGAGTCCTTTTTCAGAGGTTTAGGTGTTTTGAGGTTTGACCTCCATGGTTGGGAAGTACGCGGTTAACCTTTAACCCCTCTCTCTCTATATTTCTCTTTCTCTCTGATACCAGTGAGCACGAGGTTAACAAAGCCTGGCCCCAGTTGAGAGACAAGATGAAGATGTGGAAATCTCAGCACAGGTTAGTAGCTAACTATTCAACCATTTGGAAAGGTGATGCACCAATTTACACTGCATGCAGTAAAGATCACATACCAAATTGAATTTTGTTTGCAAAGAGTCTGATGCATTAATTGGCTCTCTCTCTCTCTCTCTCTCTATGATCTATTCCTCACACAGTCTTGATAAACTGGAGAGCTCTAGTGCCTCCGAAGACACTATATTCAGACCACACCCCATCACAATCACTGCACACTGATTACATCATGATTACATCACTGCATTTATCAGCATTTTGGATCACAGACATTTTCCCATGTATTTTTTGTCCTATGTGTGTATAAATTGCCAGCACTATCATCAGATGTGACAACACAGCAGTATTACAAAAATCCATCTCTTTTTGTGCGCATGCGTAGTGTAAGCGCGCGGTTTGCGCATGCGTGAAAATGGACATGTGACCTATCGACCGATCTCTTCGACGGAGTAAGTCGCTTCTCTCTCATCTCTCCTCAGGTCTGTTTTTCCAATGTGTAAATACTGCAGCTAAGCATTAGATCGTCGTTTATACTGAGCTAAAAGCATTTATAATCCTTGCTCACTCTTTCTTCGCTCCGTTCTCTCTAATCTCTGTCGGCAGCTAGGCAGCAGTGGTCATGAAGCTCCTGTTGGTGCTGGCGGTGGTAGCCATGACGAGCGCTCTCCCTCGAGTGGACGAATGGCAGCAGTGGAAACTGGTGAGCTGACTGCCACGACCTGGGCAGGGCTCGTACCGTTACAACCTGACAACATGAATAAACTCCGGCTAGCTAATGCGCATTACACTCAACGACGTTTCATTCACCTAACCTTCCGCAGTAGTAGGTTATCAGTTCAGACTGATGTATATACAAGTTGTCTGGTAAACGGTGGAGTTGTGGGATTTGTAATGAAACCCGAACCTTCTTACAACACCTATATAGCTACCATTGGCCGTAGCATTCGGTAGCTGAATATAATATTTGAGTCTTTCTGAGCCTTTATTGTGTTAAAGTGACAGTGTAAAATTTGTAACCGAACTTTCGTTTCCCCCATACAGCAATACCAGAAGCAGTACTCGAGTGAGGAAGAGGAGTACCGCAGACACAGGGTCTGGATCTCCAATCTCAAGTTCATCGAGGAGTTTGACTCTGAGACCGAGGGTTTCTCTGTAGCCATGAATGAGATTGGAGACCTGGTGAGGGACCAGACGATAACTAATCACTGAAGAAGAAAGTGTATGCTGCCATGGCACTAAGGCCATAGATCTCGCGGAAGGAATAGGAACAGCATGACCTCACTAATCATGAACTCACTAGTCATGAACTCACTTGCCAGGGTTTACTTCAGTGATATGAACATTCCCTACACAAAACCTTTTCAGTTTATTCAGTTTATCTTCAGTTTCAATGTTCCAAGAGCGTTTCTGGTGACTAGTTGTAGTTCTTACTGTCTACACATACACATGATATATAAAGATACTGTAATCTCTTGTGCAAGTGGGTGTCCTTGTGCATTGGTTGTGTAGCTAAGTAACGGTGTACTTAGCTCTAATGACTTGATCTTACAGTACAGCATCTTACACAGTACCCAGAACACTGTCTACACAACGTGTGATGGTCCATGAACGTGTTTACTTAAACTTTACTTCATCTTAGAAACACTACTAAACGTCCCTCCTCTCCCTCCACAGGACCCGAGGGAGTTTGTATCTCGATATAATGGACTGACGAGGAATCCTCCTAGCCCCAGCGGCGAACCTTGCACCCTGGGGAAGGACGTGTCCGACCTTCCGACCACAGTTGACTGGAGGACAAAGGGTTACGTAACTGGAATCAAGAACCAGGTGAATGACATCTCCCTATTCGCTCTCTTTTCACCTTCTTTGGAACTTTAGTTCTTCATATGTACATAGTTGTATGATTGCCCTACTCATTGTTATACATGGAGGCACGTAAAATAAAGAGTCAGTGGCTCTTTAGGTTCACATTGGACAGATAATTATTATTGCGGGGTAAAATAGTTAAAGATTAGTTCTATGTGATGACAATTTGTACTAAACCACTATCCGTTGCTCAAAACCTTCTCTCATATCGTCCATCTCCTCCCACCTCTCTCTCCCTCCCAGGGTTCCTGTGGTTCCTGCTGGGCCTTCTCAGCCACTGGCTCTCTGGAGGGACAGCACTTCAACGCCACCGGACAACTGGTCTCTCTCAGTGAGCAGAACCTTGTGGACTGCTCCAGTGAGTCATGTGACTGTCATGTGACTCTCCCAGGTGGTCATGTGACCCCCTCCTCTTGCTCCTCCCCAGCTGCCGAGGGTAACGAGGGATGTAATGGTGGTCTCCCGGACGACGCCTTCAAGTATGTGATAACCAACGGAGGAATTGACACGGAGGCTAGCTACCAATATGTTGCCAGGGTGAGTACTCCACTCCACTTTACTCCGTTCTACTCCACTCTCCATTCTTCACCACTGTTGACTTCATTTTGCCTCATGTTGTCACTGGTTTAAATAGTGGAGTAGGACTTAAAGTTACCCCAACCTTACTCCAAATACCCCCACCCACCGTACTTCATCTTACACTCATGCCCTTTTACCTGTACTTTGTCCTTGACTGTAATACTAAGACACAGTGGAGGTATGTATATATATTCTCAAAATTACTTCACATTACCCCACCTCACTCCACCTGATCCTGAATTACTCCATTTACCCCAACTACCCCAGTTAATCACCCCATTCCACTCCACCCACAGGATGAGAAATGCCGTTTCTCAAAATCCAGCATTGGCTCCACATGCAGTGGTTACATCGACATCAAGAGCAAATCGGAGGATCAACTCCAGGCTGCCTCGGCAACCGTGGGACCCATCTCCGTGGGGATCGACGCCTCAAACATCGGCTTCCAGGTCATGTGACTTTCTTGTGATGTCATCTGACATCATCACTGTTGCATAGGCTAAGCTCTCGAAACAGAGAAAACTCTTTTGTTTCTCGCAGATCGTCACTTAATGCTTGATGATGTCATAGATGAAGTCACATGACTATTGAGTGACATCACATGACGTAATTCTCCCCTCCCATACAGTTCTACCACGGTGGGGTGTACCACAGTGTGTTGTGTTCCCAGACGAGACTTGACCATGGGGTACTGGTGGTGGGGTACGGAGTGTATGAGGACAAGGACTATTGGATGGTCAAGAACAGGTACACCAGCTACTGTATGTAGTGGGTTATATGAGGACAAGGACTATTGGATGGTCAAGAACAGGTACACCAGCTACTGTATGTAGTGGGTTATATGAGGACAAGGACTATTGGATGGTCAAGAACAGGTACACCAGCTACTGTATGTAGTGGGTTATATGAGGACAAGGACTATTGGATGGTCAAGAACAGGTACACCAGCTACTGTATGTAGTGGGTTATATGAGGACAAGGACTATTGGATGGTCAAGAACAGGTACACCAGCTACTGTATGTAGTGGGTTATATGAGGACAAGGACTATTGGATGGTCAAGAACAGGTACACCAGCTACTGTATGTAGTGGGTTATATGGGGACCTGAATCCTCTTTCATTTTGTTCTGTGACATCCCAAGTCTTCCAATATCCAAGTATACACATAATTATGACACCAACTAAGGGATTTCACCAAAGTCTTCGATACCTTCCCAGTAGAAATTTGCAGTGGATGTGACATAATGTACATGATTGAGAGCCAAACGAATGATGATTACTCTTTGGCGGCACTTGAAGATTTATCCTAGCAAGCCAGTACGTAGTTGGTATATACATACAAACCCTACTTAAACAGATTTAACACACATCTTCTTTGAACACACATCTTAGATTTGACTTCTTTCTGGCTGAAGGGTAGTGACTTCTTAGTGCATTCCCCTCCATTATCCCATTTCCACATTCTGACGTTTTTCAAATTTCCATTCTGTAGTTGGGGGACAAGCTGGGGAATGGACGGTTACATCATGATGTCTCGTAACCGTGACAACAATTGTGGAATAGCAACAATGGCGTCTTACCCCATCGTTAAAGCTAATTAGTAAAAGGAAATCTCATAAGGATGACTGTACATGCAAACTTTACTGGAAATTTTTTTGAAAACTTTACTATTTATTCTCTGCGTACATTTTGTAATAAAAATTTGATTAATTTGACTCTACAGTGTGCAGTTTTGCTGCTGTGCAAAATAATGAGACGAATAAAAACATAAAACTGTTTTAAAAATGTGTGAGAAGAGAGAATGATGAAGAGATAGGGAATAAGGGAAAAGGAGTGCAGTTTGTTAAAATGACCAGCTGAGAGTAAACTATAGCCACAGAAGATGATGACTGTCAACTATTGCTTGTCGAGTTGTTAGCTAGTAGCTGCTAGCTGCTGGGGTAGAGTGCTCGGGAGGCAATCCCGCAGTGGTTATTGAGGTTCCTTGCCATTAGCATGTAGCCATCCATTCCCCATGCCGTTCCCCAGCTAGGGAGGGAGGGGAGGGAGAGAAAACAGGGAGGATTAAGGAAGATGAACAGAGTGGAGACCAGAAAGAACAGCTAAATTTAGTAGCAATTACGTAATGACTTCCACATTTCCGGGGGTGTGGCTTCATTATGTACAACTATACAAAAGCCTCGCATTCCTTGCAACCTCGGCCTTTGGCCAAACCATGGATTGTTCAGAACCTCCAGCCTATTGTCACAGTCAAAAGATTGTCACAGGTGTAGATCCCTCCCATCCCATTCATGCAGTTCCATGCACACTCACAACCTCTAGCAATACCTTGATTGCATGAAGGTGTGGTTGGACTACTGTTAATGATGTAATGATGACATCATTGCAACGTACCTGTTTTTGAGTATCCAGTACTCTCTGCCGTGGCGAGTCTTTCCGTAGCCAATGATAAGGACACTTTGAGTCAGTTTGGTAGTGGAGCATGTCGGCTCCAGGAACACTCCTCCTGCATAGAACTGTAGGGGAAGAGGGTGGAGAAACAGAATGAAGGTGCTCTGTTAGTGGGGTTGGTATATACTATATACAGTGTGGTATAAAGGTACTACAATTTATAGGGTGGCCTAAATTTTGTGTACTTTTAGTGAGCAAGTTAGGGAAAGGACAGGCCAACCAACCATCCTGAATACATTGACTGTAGCTGGAGAGTGCAGTGCTATCACACTCATGTGTTAGAACCCAGTTGTTAAGGGGTTAAGGCTCTAGTGGTAAAGGGGTTAAATTCACCTGGAATGTGTTGTGTCGAGAATCAACTACGGCTGTGACTGGACCAAACGTTGCCACGGCAATCTCCAGATCTGATTCCCGGCCTTTCTGTATCTTTATCATCCCTGAAGAGAGAGTTTGGCCAAACTGACAAACAGAAACAATCGCAATCTTATTTTACCTGTGCATTTTCCAGCAATGTACTTCTTTGAAAACTTGCAGAGATATTGCTGTGGAATCAATTACTCGTTTGGTCTAATAAGTGGCGCTGGTTACAGGGGCTTACCCTTTCCTTGTAGGGGTAGTATGTGTCAGTGTCTAGTCCACCGCTGTCGATGACGTACATGAGGCTGGTCTCCACGGAGCCTCCACTGCAGGCCCTGTTGCCATAGGGAACTGGGGGAGAAGGCAGAGAGAGAGAGAGAGAGAGGGAAGATATGATACCTCCACGTGCTGCACCGCGACAAATTAAACACACACAAAGTTTAGTCTTTTGTCATCTAGAGAACTCTGGACTAGATGGTGGGTAAACCCCTTTAATCATTGATTCCCTATAACCAAGCAGCATGTGCTACACTACAATCATTAGAAGACTTTGTCTAGCTATCATGGATGTCTTTGTCCAACATTCGAACGTGATGAACATGCTTATTAGGAAACTGTGCTATTTTTGCAGGGAGTTGGCTACTAACAGGAGCAGTCTGTGATGTTGTGCTAAACACGTTAGTCTTAATGCTCCCTCTACCAGAGGTTATGCTCAGGGATCCTGCGACTAACTTACCGGAGCAGTCAATGATGTTCTGTTCACTGAGAGTGACCAGTTTGCCCGTGGTGAGAGCATGGAGACCCTCCAGAACTCCTGTCGTGGCAAACGCATAGCAACTCCTACATCTTCCCTGTGGAGTGGTGAGTGGTGAGCGGTGAGTAAGGGGTTTAGTGGAGCAGTGGTATAACCAGCCAAACCTTTTACACACACACTTTACATTACAATGTGTCTTAGAAAATATGGTGGAAATCCTCTAATCTAGACACCAATCAAAGTGCTAAAGTGTGCTTATTTCATGTATTTTCAAAAGTCACTAATCTATTTTGTGTGTGGTCTGGGTCACACGAGAATTATAATGCGAAATTGCACACAAATTCCAAAGGGAAAGAAAGATGTAGATGTCCTCATAATTATCAGGGTTTTCCTTAGAGAGGGTGCCCTTTACGCGACATTTGCAATTTGACCACGACTTTAAAATCAATAGCCAGTGTATACACAGACTAGGACTCTGTCTACCATTGTTATGTTTGTGTTTTGGTCATTGAAATTCAAAGTTTGTAGCAAGCAGACAATAAGCGTGCGGTGCAGAAATCCTTTGATCTTTTCAAGTGACATGTTGGGTCTTAGGTACTAGCAGTGGGTCCTCTGAACAAGGGACACTATGGGACCAATGAGTTTGTCCCACATATAGAGGTTGTCCCTCGAGGTCAAACTAAAGTATTAGCATGGGATTGAAACAAGTGTCTTTTGTAGAGAGGTCGTCCCTTATCTCCGAGGGTCCCTTATCGGAGGTTCCACTGTATAGGCTATTAAGACAGGTGTCGTCTTACGGAGTCTTTGACACTGCTGACTGCTCCCATCGTCCTCCAGTCCACCTCAGACGGTAGGTCACTGGTGGACTTGTTCACAGTCCGTGAGGGGTCAAAGGTCGTGACGTTGAAGGAATGCACAGGGTTCCTGGCATAATCCACACACTTTGTCGCATGAGCAAATTCTTCCGATGTCTAGAATAATACACATCAGTTTCAAACTTGAATATCAAAACAGATAAATTAATGCTGCTACCCCAACAAAATATATGGGACAGAAGCCAAGGTTGTCAGTAAATAAGTGGGAACTGGTGATTTTCTGGTTGAATGGACAGTGCTGGTAGATATCTATACTGCAACAGCACATAGTGGGTTTGTGGGGATAAATAAATTATGCACACTTCTTTATACAAGGAAAAGCTCCTCTTTGACAGTTCAGTTTCAAAAGAGGTACAAATAACTGTTCAAAAGAGAGGCTCCAATGGCTTGTGTGTATGAAGTGGTGATTGTGATTACTAAAGGCCGCAGCCTTCAGGAGTTTCCTGCACCTCCTCGCAGCACCAACACTATGTTGTTTCAATGTACTCTACCTTGTAAAAGTACAAGTACAGCTAGCATGCTCCCCCTCTCTCTTCACTTCTCTCAGTCCCTCACCAGATCTCCAAACTGGTTCATTCTCAGAGTGAACCCGAGTTTGTTGGCGTAGCTGTTGTGGTAGTCGATGAACGCCTGGTTGGCTCGCCAGATTACGAATCGCTCCAGCTCCTCTACAAGAGTCAGGTAACCTCGCCTGTGGGTCGCTTTCCACGCTTCCCACTGGAGACCGTAGCGGAGAACGTTGGTATTGAGTCGGCCGTCCGAGCCCGTCAGCTCCTCCGTCGTCAGTCGGCGCCTCGCATCCCCGGCTTTCGTCACTGCTACCAATGCCAGGAGAAGTAAAATCAGTGCAGAAGTGGTGATTTTCATGGTTACAGACACGGCGAAAGAGACGGATTGAGGATGATGATGATTGCACATCAATACTGGCGGGTAGATCTTCCAGCATGGCTCCTCCAATAGATATAGTCGGGGAGGGACGCGCCCCACGCTCCCTGAATGTGCCGACAAGATACCGACCGTTGTTAGGCCGTCTGCGACGTGTTTCTGTGTTAGTATAATCCTTGCTTACTCCTTTGACTCGAAACGATCCCACGCATGGTTTTGCGCACGCGCAAGAGACGTTTGTTTCGTTTTGTTACGTAACATGTGAACTACGCATGCGTGGACGTGGGCGACGACCTAGCATAATGTTCATCATTGTCCGGAGCACAATAACCGGACTAGTACAAAACTTTCCGACAAACAGACGTGGGGCAAAGATTTGTGTTAAACCATATGTCAACAGAGCGCAAAATACCTCGTTGTTGTGCGTGAACATAACAAAAAATTACTCCCCCCATCGCTAATTTTATTACATTACACCAGCATCCCACCTCTATAACATAATAGACAAGCACAGTGTAGTTCCTACTACTATAATTATACTGGACTGCACACTAAACTCATGAGAGAGTACAGTAGGAGATGTCACACCCTTAACAAAGTACATCTATACCCCCGTTGTAGATTGATGGTCATTACACAATTATCTAATTGAAATGGCAAACACCTACATAATGTACATTTGGAAACAGATGTATGCTGGGAATCTCATTCTTTTGCCTGACACTGTGCTGCTCTTAGAGCTTTCTCTGCCATTAAGACAGTTACTGGCAGTGAGCACAATATTATTCAATGCTCAAAGCTAAAAAGAAGCTGAAAGAAGTCCAGTGGATTGTGTACTGGGCTATAATTCCTCGAGAAACAATCTAGTCTCCCCATTGCCATATATTTTTAAGCAACCACAACTGACAGTAGTAGCTATCTATTTGGAAATTTCGGCCGACTTATATTTGTTGCGACTGCTCATGATAGCAAGTTGCTGCAACAGAAACACTGTACCATAAAATTCTTCTACTATATTGGCTTGTCAGAAATAATTTGAGTAGCTTATGCAAGCACATTTTTGGTAACGTGTTGCAAGGAGCAAAGTGTCCTCATGTGCATGCATGATAGCAAGTTGATCAGTTTCTTGTCCAAACATGTTGTTGCAGTTTGCTCCCCTATTTCTGGCAGCTAGCATACTGGAAATTGCCTCGTGTTTGACGTCACAATCATGCAGAAGCGTTTCATTTTTCACAAAAACATGTTGGTACAGTTCGCTCTCCTTTCTGGAAACTTGCGTGCTGAAGTTACCTCGTGTAGCTATGACGTCAGAATCATGCAAAAGCGTTTCATTTTTCGTCACATGATCCACGAAAGATAATTGAACACGAAACCTGAATTCATTTACATTTCAACACAAAGACAAATATTACGAACCGATTACAGATGTACGTGTGCACATTACCACAAAATGACCTGTGACTCTACAGAGTTTTTGAATAGATAGTGAAAAGTACAAACTGTCCTACACGTGTAAAGAGGTTCCTGTGTCCTATAGCTATAATGACACTACTATAATATGCAGAGAGAGACGTTGATGGGGACATCATAGGGTGGGGAAGCTTGCTGAAGTTGCCACCCCACATTGGTTGCTCTTGTTTCGAACCATCTTGATGTAGCCATTGATTCCCCAGTTAGGTCCCCAGCTTTTGGAGGGAAAGAGGAGAGTGAGAGAGAGAGTGTGTGTGAAGAGAGAGAGTGTGTGAGGAGAGAGAGAAGAGGAAGAAGGGGGGAGCAAAGTAAGCGAATGAAAAGGGCAGAAGAAAAACGGGAAGCTAAGTAGACTGTTTTGCAGCATCTCTCCCTCTCTCTCTCTCTCTCTACGTGTACCTGTTCTTCAGCAGCCAGTAGTCCTTGCTACGTCCACTGCTATAACCAATGATTACCATGGCATGGGTCAGTTTGCTACGAGAACAGTTTGGAATGTCCATGATCCCCTCGCTGTAGAACTAAAAGGAGAAAGAGAAGAGAGAAATGATCACAGCAGTATCTGAAATGGGTCCTTACTTGGAAGGAGCTGTGACTGGCGTCAACATAGGTGGAAACTGTCCAACATTGGCCACTGCTGATTGGAGGTCCCCTTCATCTCCAGAGTTAATTGACACAACACCACTCATTGAGGCCGCCTTGTACCTGTTGTAGTACTTGCAGGACAGTTGCTGCAGGGATTGAAGGGAGAAAGGATAATAGAGAACATGCAGAGACTGTTTTTAGCCGTGAGATTGAGAATGAGAGAGAAATTGAGAGAGAGAGAGAGAGGATGGAGCTGTCTTAGTTGCAAGTTACCCTTGACTTGTATTGATAGTAGTAGTTGCTATCGATTCCCTCGTTGTCGATGATGTAGAGGTAGGCACTGTTCAGGTTTCCACACGAACAGCCGTGGTTGCCATAGGGAACTAGAGGGAGGTGAAAAAGAATTTGTAGCATTTGAAGGCTCCACTTTTGAATTAGAGATACATTCAGTAAAAGACAGAGTGTTGTGATGAGCCGTAGAGTATTATACCTGAGCAGTCAACGAGGTTCTGTGCACTGAGGGAACACCAGACTGTCCCCCTGAGAGAGCCATGGCTCTCCCTCGAGATGCTCCAATAAGGCAAAATGCGTACGAGGAACTGCACCGGAGCTGGACACACAACAAACCAAACACTCTCACAGTGTAACGATATATAGTCCCGTTTTGTGGTGTGCATGAGCACCTTGTCAGTATGCCCTGTATCCATAGTTTTTTCCAGGTCATGAGCCTCTTAGAAATCTTTCTAATAATCTCTATATCCTTTGTAAAGCACACGAGTATAGTGCATATAATACGTGACTTGACTTGATAACACAGCTGAGGCTCTGTTATAGTTTGCCATTTTCATCTGCTGGAATATACACTACACTAGCTAGATTACGCGTGTAACACTGCTGTGCTGTTGTAAAGCAACAGTATAGAACCTGGTCCTTTGACATAGGTGACAGCCCACCAGAGGTACCGCCACACAGTCCTACAGGGAGGCTGTAACTTGTACTTAGATGTGTAATAATTCTCTTGAAGAGGGGCCGTATTATGCCAGAGAGACCCTCGGGAGACTTTGTGAGTAATTACTCGCTGCTGACACACAAATGTATCCTGGACAAACTCAACCCTCCCCTGGTGTGACGACTGGATGCATGAAAACCTAAACTCATTCAACCAAGCTCCTCTTGCAATTCTAGTACATGTATACGTTGGTCCAGGTAAATTGGGTACATCCTGGAAAGCTTGAAATTGGCGATAATCCCTTGAACAGTGGGTATATTTTTCTAAGTGGGAGCTATTTATTGCGTCCTATTGTTTTGGTTTCTCCTCTTATCGTTCCCCTCCCCCGCTCCCCTCCCACTCCCTCCCCGTTTGTTCCCACCCTCCCTCTCCCCCTAAGTCTCCGGTGGCCCTTTTTCCCATTCTCTTCCACCTCCCCCTCACTTTTTAATCCCGCTCCCTTGCCTCTCGCCCTCGACTCACCAGGTCCCTCCAAAGTTTGTTTCATCTTGTAAAGTGTAGCCAAAGGGTCAGAGTCACTGTTTGTGCCCTGGGTCGATGTAAAGCCAAATTGGTTTGGACATCCAGGGTAATGTGCCTTTTCCCCCTCAAGCTCCTTCCAATCTCCTGCGATCAGAAGAAAAAAAACTTTTCTAACAAAAAAGGAAAACTTATTATTTATGTGTTTATTAATGCTGTTTTGAGCTACTTTTACTTTTGGGGGGGATGGTTTTATTTTTTGCTTCCTAAAGGCTCTGGGGTTAAAGTTTCCTTCTATATGCCTCTGGGGTAAAAGAAAGTTACTTCCTGGACTCCTGAGTAAGATCTCCCCTGCCCTCCTGCCTGCCTGTCCGTGCCTTCCAGAGGTGCCCACCCCTCGGGGTACGGATGGCTGCTTGTGGCCGTACCCATGGCGACCACTGCCCGAAAAACCTACCAGTCGATTTTCATTTCCCTGGTCTTTTTATAGCGAGAATTCTGCAAGTGGTGAGAGAAATAAGTAAGCCCCCTCTTTAAACCCGCTTCATCTCTTCCCTCCTCTAACCTACCTACTGTAATACCTGTTAGGATAAAAGTAAAACCTTGGCTATAGTTCAGCTTGCTGAAAATCCTTTGCTCCAATCTCATTTGAATGACTGAACTGTCTCACTTGCCTTCCAGTCACTGTTAACCCTGCGTTTCTAATATGTTTGGCAAGCAGGCCCCCGGTCCCCAACTCTACACACTGATATAATGGCCCCCCACAACTGTGGTAATAGTTGGTTTTTCCCATTAATGAAAAAACATAGATCCCTCTTGAAATACAGTGGGCCCTAGCAATGTGAGGCCGCCTTCTTTACTTGGAAACAAAGGAGAGGCTAGTATGGTGAACTAAGTCATAATGCCGGACAATTGGTTTTTTTATGAATGTGTGTTGGGAAGTCCAACTATATGTAGGGTAATGAGAGTGGTTCATGTCCTCAATTGCCCAAGGTCGTGTAACGTAATGAGTGTAACGTTTTTCACACGAGACCAATCTGTGAAATGTTATTCATACAAGTGGCCCATGTCGCTGGTTATTAATGCGACACAGTTTCCGACAAGGAGTGAGAGGGTATAGTGAAGGTGGACTGATTGTTTATAATGAAAATGAGGAACACCAGAAGACACAGTAAAATTCAAACTCACCAACATCTCTACTGTGTAAAAATGTGAATGCCATGGCCAAACATATGTTGTCCCGGATTTGTACACCCATTGAAGGTGCTTGTAATCTCACCCAAAATAATTGTAGGCTCTGGTAAAAACCGTGGCCTTTATTGAGGGCTGTAACCCTACTTGAAAATTGGCCTCACATGGGGGCTATTAAGCCAGTACATGAAAAGACTAGTGTTTATGCCCGTTTTCAACACAGCCATTATTACCCCGACCTGTACATTATGGAACATGCAACACTGTAGCCCTAAAAGTTACTTTCAAATGAAAAACCACTCCACCTCCACCATTGACCAAAGGGATGGAAGAAGTCCAGTATATGCTAAAACATCTATTCTTTGAAGCACATGCAGCTCAAAACAAATAAAATACTGCTGCAAGTTTAAGGCCTTAGAGTAAGCTTACACAAAATAGCTTTTGTACCTAGATAAACAATCAGGTGCAACAATCTTATGAACAACTCCCCATCGCATTTTTGCTGGTTAAATTGTATCCCCAATGTGCTACAAGGAAAGTGTTTAAACACAAACCAAATCTCATGATTCTGGCAAAAGCAACCCAAGACTTGACAATTTTAAACAATGGTTGTTTTTAATAACACAAAAAAAGGTAATTATATTATGGTATGAGCCCCTGTTCGATAGAGCTCCTGAGAAATTGCTAGTTATAAAAAAAAAGCCATGTCACAGTAGAATTATCTGTATAATGGACACAAAAAGGACCGAAACGTCAACCACCTTTTTTTTTCTCCTCCTCATTTGAAAACTGCTTTTTTCTACATCAAAATTTCAATCGACACGTTTAAAATGGTTTTTTAATAACACGTTCATAAGCCATTAAACTTAACGTGGAAGCATAATTTTAAAATCAAATGCTTCCCTTTTCTCCATCATCTTGAATTGCGTATGTCAAAACATAAGTACAAATTAAATATTATAGGACGAAAACGAACGAACCAAAACCACCAAGCAAAGTGGCAGGGATAAGCCGTTTTTCTTGTAATTAGCAGTACAATTAAAATCAGCATGAAACACAATTTTATGAACCTATCAAAATGAGAAAACAGTCCATAGTGCAGGGAAAATGGCTCTAGGGAGGCCGATGCCACACTGATCTGTTCTGGTTCTCCGACTCCTATGTATCCCGTCTCTCCACAAAGGACTCCCCAACCCCGAGAGAGAAGAGGGAAGAGAGTAAGGGATAGAGGGAAAGAGGGAATGAGAGAAAGATCGTTTAATAGAAGGGAAAGAGAGAAAAAGTAGGCATAGAGTAAACTGAGAAGGGGGAAAGTACTTAAAAGTGTCAAAGATTTATTATGGGAGAATGGTCCCCTACATGTTCTTCTAAGACACACAAGTAAAAAAGTCCTTCCCCCTTGCTCGTCGATTCCCCCCCATATCCAGCAACCAACACTGCGTGGTTTCACCTTGTTTGAGGAAACATGTTGTTGATCATACCAACCACGCCACTGGCCATAGAACTGTGGCAAAGCCCAAGAGTAATAGATACATCCAGACCCTTATAGTTGCATACATTAATGATCAATGAAGAAATTCTATTGTGATCGGGGTCCATTGTAATCTCAAGTTCCCGACATAGAGTAAAAACCCCTGTAATTAGGGAAAGTAAGCGTACCCGGAATGTATTGTGGCTTGGCATCGATAGCAGCTGAAATGGGGGCCTTCCATGGCAGACTGCACACTGCAGGCGCTTCAGTCACTTCCCTTTCCTAATCCATTGGGAGCTCCTCAGAGTCCACTCCGGGCTTGTGTGCTCTTGTAAAGTGGCACCGACTTGCGAGGCCCGCGTAACGGGTAAACACGGTTGTACTGTGTTTAGTTCCCTTGCACTTCTATGATGACGTACTCGGAACGCTCTGTCCACCTGCTCCTTTTGAACATCCCATGATTTCCCATAGGGACCTGCCACGTGAGAATTGTAATATTGGTTCCTTCAAGGATGTAAATCAAGTTTCAGTCCATTTGAAATATTTCTATACAGGCGGGCAATATTTATTTCAAGAGTGTTAGGATACAGCTAAAGAGGTGCATGAATGTGTTGTGAGGGTTTTTTTAACATTTTATGCTCGCTCCCAAAGGAAGGTAAAAAATCAGTTTTAAAGCTCATAAATTTTGAAAAGTAATGCCACTAATATTTCAAGAGGGTCAATAAAAGGTATTAGCTAAAGGGAGATATGGTTTTTTTAAAAGTCTATTTGAGAGAGTGTTGTGTATGTCTCTGTGT